AAGGGGGAGACTCACCCTAATTAAGGCCTCTCGAGCTAACCTACCTATTTACTACCTTTTGGTGTTTCTCATCCCTTCAAAGGTAAAATGTCAGATTGAGAAGCTCCAACGAGATTTTTTGTGGGACAGTGGTGGAGAAAAAAGGTGTCATCTTATAAGCAGGGAGCAGGCTTGCAAACTAAAGGAGGAAGGTGGGTTGGGTATTGGGTATATTAAGGAAAGAAACTTAGCTCTTCTTGGAAAATGGTTGTGGAGGTTCACTCTTGAGCCAAATACACTTTGGACAGCCATCATCAGAAGCAAATATGGGTTAAATTCTAATGGTGGGGATAGTAAAGTCCACTTGACCTGGGAGAATGCACCAAACCCTTGGAAAGGTATCTGCTCTTGTTACACTAATTTTATTTCCTTTACTAGATATCGAGTGGGGGATGGGAACAAGATTAAATTTTTGACTGGTCTCTGGTGGGGGAATCAAACCTTAGTTGAATCTTAGCCTCACTTGTTTTGTCTTAACCAAACTTAGGGAGATACCATTGCCTCTTGCTTTTATCCTTCCTACTTTGGGATTAGTTAGAACCTTAGCCTTAGAAGATCTCTAAGGGACGTGGAGATTGCTGAAATAACAAACCTCCTCCAATCCCTACAGGAAGTCTACTTCTCCCCTTCTTCCTTAGGCAGTTGTATTTGAATCCTTCACCCAGTCAGAAAATTCTCAACCAAGACTTTCTTCAAGGCACTCAACAAAGATGACAAAGATAAGTGGCTAATTGCAATGCAGGAAGAAATGGAGTCACTCAATAGAAATCATACTTGGGACTTGATTGAACCACCTAAGAATAGAAAGGTGATGGGCTGCAAGTGGGTATTCTGTAATAAGGAAGGAACAATAGATAATGAAGAGGTGAAGTACAAAGCTAAATTAGTAGCAAAGGGGCATAGCCAGAAAGAGGGTGTGGACTATAATGAGATTTCCTCTATGGTACATTCATCTATTTGCATTGTGTTATCCATGGTGTCTAAATTTGACTTAGAGCTTGAACAACTTGATGTTAAGACAACATTCCTTCATGGTGAGTTGGAGGAAAACATTTATATGGAGCAACCAAAGGCTTTAAAGAGCCTGGAAATGAGGGTCTAGTGTGCAAATTTGGAAGATCGTTTATGGTTTAAAGCAATCACCTAGACAATGGTACAAGCGCTTTGATGCTTTTATGGTTGATTCAAGTTACAAGCGAAGTTCTTATGATTATTGTATTTACTACAGGATTCTAGAAGACGGTTCACCTATTATTTTGTTGTTGTATGTTGATGATATGTTTGTAGCTTGTAAAGATAATAGAGAATGTCTTGGAATTGAAGATCAAACTTGGTGTTGAGTTTGATATGAAGGATCTAGGAAGAGCTAAGAAGATTCTTGGGATGGAAATCATCAGAGATAGAAATACAAGCAAACTATGGGTTTCTCAAAGGAAGTATATTCAAAATATTTTGGAAAGGTTTGGAATGTCAAATGCTAAATCAATTCAATCACCACTGACCACTTGCACAGCATTTCAAGTTGTCAGCAGAATTGTCACCAAGAACTGATGAAGATAGAGAGCATATGTCACACATACAATATAGTAGTGTTGTTGGGAGCCCTCTGTATGCAATGGTATGCACTAGGCCTAATATTGCCTCACGCAGTTAGCATTGTCAGCAGGTATATGGAAAATCCAAGGAGACAACATTGGCATGCTGTAAAATGGATTTTTCGATATATGAGAGGTACTATTGATGTGGGTTTATTGTTTGACAAAGGATCATGTAGACATCAGTTGGTTGGTCTTGTTGCTGATTATGTGGGGGATTTAGATAGCCGTCATTCCATGATAGGTTACATATTTCTTCTAACAGGAGGTCCCATTAGCTAGAAGGCAATGTTGCAGCTTGTTGTTGCTTTGTTCCCCACAGAGGCTGAGTATATGGTAGCAGTGGAGGGAGCTAAAGAAGTTATTTGGTTGACAGGTTTTGTTAATGAATTGGGCTGCAACAAGATAAATCAATCTTATTGTGTGACAATCAAAGTGCAATTCACCTAGCAAAGAACTCAGTGCACCATGGAAGAACAAAGCAAATAGATGTAAAATTTCATTGGATTCAAGAGATAGTTTTCAATGGTAAAGTACACTTGGATTAGGTGAGCACACATGAAAATATAGTAGATATTCTTACCAAGCCTCAAGCCTGTCACTACAAACAAGTTTGGGTGGTTTGTCTTGGATATGAGATGAAAGGAGATGCTCCTATGGAGCAAGAATGGCACCTCATGGATTGTGAGGTATGAGTTCACTGGTGATCTGTAAATGCATAAGTGAGCTACTTGACATGGACTCTTTACTTTACTTCGATTACAAGCCAAGGTGGAGAGTGTTGGGTTTATGGGGTTTCATCAAGGGTATTTTTGGTTTTTATGTCTTGTAATATCAACCATTGGAAACCATTAAGATCCAAGGGTTGGTATCTATTAGGTTTTCCCTTTTGTTGTTTCTTTGCCTTTGAGAAAAAGGTGTTAAGAAGACAATAGAGGAAGACAAGAACGTAAGAGAGAAAGGAAAGCTGTAGAAGGAGAGCCATTGTAACTCTATTAGAAGCTTCTATAATTGATTTCTTACTCTTGAACGTCCATGGATGTAGGCTAAAGAGCTGAACCACATAAATCTAGTGTGCTCTCTCCATTTTTCTTCCATTTTCTTTTAAATTTCAGCTCTTGTGTGTGTTTGTTATGCTTGAATGCACTGTTCCATTAGCAATATTTTAAACTCTTAGAAGGATATGCAAGGATATTTTCAAAGGTTCGGTCCATATCCAATTTACCCCTCCCGAGCCAGGAATAGCCAGGATCAACATTAGGTAATGTCCCTTTGTTTTCAACTTTTCGTAGGCACATTTAACAACATATTATCCCAAAATATTGCCCTAAGACCTCCCACCTTCAATCAAAGATCAGATATAACACCACCAAGAATTTTCATATTCTCAACTTCTAGGTAATAATTGTTGACTAATCTTTGCACTTCAAAAGCATCTTGGACTAAAGATTTCTCCAACCCAGCAGTTATCTTAGCCAATTAAAGATAAGAAAAGGCAATTGATAGAAAAAATAGACCAATGTGAACCAAATCCATGTGACTTTCCAACCATCACCATCAGATAAATAGCTGTTTTTATTTTTTAATAAAATTTTCTTTACTACCAAATAAAAATTAGTGTTCATTCATATTGTGTATCTCTTTATGTCCTCTCATGCATTCATGAACACAGAATTATCTTTTTTTTTTATTTGTTGTAAACTGGCTGAAGAAAGGGGAAGGAGCAATCTGGAGGCTAAGGAATGAGCTCAGGCGCTTTAAGCAAGTTTCTAAAGACATGGCAATTCAAATAAGATGGATTAGAAGATCATCTAACAGCATGGCTGATGGTCTAGCTAAACAAGGAGTTCAAAGACAATCTATGTTCTGGGATATGTTATAGTTAGTGGAGCTTCCTTTGGGCTATTTTTGGGGCTTGTTGTATCTAGTGGCTTTGTTTGTTGGGTTATGCTTTGTAGTTGGTGGGTTTTCTGTGGACTTTTTGTCTACCCACAACTTCTTGTTGGACACAACTTTTTAATTTAATGAATCAATTCTGTGTTGCTGATAAAAAAAAAAAGAATTATATTTTTGATATACAATACTTAATGAAGTTACCCTTGGTCAAAACAAAAAAGGATCCATGAAACTGCAGTCTACACTGTTTTGATTAAAAGTACAATATGCAAAACAGGCTTACTAATAAATGTAAGCATAAGTATGTATATATGCTATAGGATTGCATTCAGGTATCTGGAGTGAAGGTGGTTATTAAATGGATCTATCATTAGATATCCATGTCTGGACTAATCAGGTCCTGGTCATCATCCAATCCATTGACAGAATGACAGCTCAATCAGACATGCTATCAACCATTTCACCGTTGCATAGTCAGTTTGTAATATGTTCAGGATCAGGGAAAATAAGTTCCATGCCATGATCCCCTGCCAGAAAACAATACTTTCCAGGATGCAAAGTTCCATAATCAGGGTGAAGGAAATTGTGTTATTAACACATAAAGGTGTAAGGAACTAGGAAGGAAATTTTGGATAATTAGTCCAAAGCCTTGTGGACCTGCTGTAATAAGTCCCGGGTGGAAAGCGTAGCTAATCAAGGCATTGGATCTGCTCCTATTTTAGCACAATCCTCAATAAGCACAGATGAACTTGTGAATAACTTTTTTCAACTGAAATTTCCATCAAAATCTTAACTCAATTTACACATGGAAGATATGAAAGGATCAAAATATCGATACAATATGCCCCGTATGAGGTGTATTGTATCCATATCGGTGGTCATGGAGACAGATGGAAGCACTGATACACACAGGGTTGGGGGTTTTGAAAGTCTGGGATGCTGGAAAGCACCCTCTCATGCTGATAAAATAAAAAATTAGAAAAATAAGAAAAGAAAAAGTATCAGCAATTGCGTATCGGTGCGTATCGATATTTTGATCCTTGAAGATAGGTATTGGATTACATGATCTTATTGTGATTGGTTCTTCAAGGTCCATTGCTTAATGAAATGGTAAAATCTATGACTAACAAGTGTAAGAAAGTATGTCCAAGTCTGAGAGTGGCCACTTTGTGCATAAAAGGAAATGCCAAATGTTAGGCCAATCCACCCCTCCCAATAACCCAGATAGTCAGGACCAACATTAGACAATGGCCCTTATCCTGATTGGTTCTTTAAGAAACTCAAATGGTTTAACAACCTACTACCCTAGAACCCTATTCTAACTGTAAATCATTGATCAACCACGGTAATTTCAAGTTCAGATAAGAGGAGTCTAAATAATTCACCGTTGCACGCATTGTCAAAGAAACCTAAGACATAAAGAATAATCAGTAGATGGTACTCTCTAGAGAAACGATACTCCAAACATACCTTGAAAATAAGACCAACAATGGTCGTTCCTGTTTTCCTGAAAGATGGAGGTTGAATACCCTTTCCTGAGAGCATTTCATTTCTTCTACAGAGATCAAAACTAAACCCACCCTTGGGAGGAACATCTACAACGGCTTGAGACATGTCTGATTTTTTGTCAACCTGCAAAAGAAAGTGCATAACTACAACCATGTATTATGGTATTTATGATTAACCGTAATAATTGGTAATTAAAACATGGGTTACCAGAAGCATTGTATGTTAGTAAACCAACGGTGGCGAATATATTGAAAAGCGAAGAAAACAAGTATAACTAATTTACCAGAAAATTTACACAGAAAAATTAAAGGCGAAAGGATAGCTGAGAATAGACAGTTCGTAAGTGAAGAATGAATTTAATCAAAACAATAAACTTAAAAAGCGCATAGTTCATTTCTAAAACATAATATCAAAGGCAGAGGGCTTGGCATTTCTAATTCAGAATCTTCAATTAGGGAAAGACAAAAGGACATGAACATTGTGATTTGTTCAGGAGAAAAATGCCAAATTAGATCGGACGGAGAGAATAGAATTACAAGAAAAATGGTTTAATTTGCGTGAAGCCGAAAACACTCATGAAGTCACGATAGCATTTTGTTGCGAAGCCATAGTTTTAAGCTTTTAGTGTTTCAGGGACGATTCATTTAAATTTGAAGCTGAAGTTCCTTTTTATCCCCTCAAAATCCTATAATCATTAAAGCAAATACTTACGAGGAGATCGGAGACGCAGCGAGATCGCCAGGAAGTAGTTCAGTCGGACATTGCTAAAAGAAACACGGATTTCGAAACTTTTACAGACTTGGGTGGAAGAAAGAGAAGTTGGTACTCCCATCCCGTGGGCTTATTGCAGTGAATACGCATCGGTGCCCCACAGCCCAGCCCAGCCCATCTGATCCGATCACTTGGGAACATCTCCGCATCACAATTACGGGAGATGTTCGCAATGCACGCTGAAATACGGGAGATGATAGTATGTAGGCATCCTAGGCAGATATTATGGGAGATGTTTTCAATGCACGCTGATATGTGCATGTGAGGATAGTATGTATGGAGAGCGGATCTGCTCCTCGAGGGCGCCTCACACGCACACCCTACCATGCATTGGAAATATTTCCCGTAATTATAAGTGATTATTCGGGGAGATGTTCCCAATGCACGGTGGACGTGCATGTGAGGCGCCCTGTGTGACGAGCAATCCCGTTCCGTATGTAGGATAGCAAGTCCCTCGGAAATGTTTTCAATGCACGCTGAGATGTGCATGTAAGGATAGCAAGTCCAAGTCTCCAAGATGCTGAATTGAAGCCAAATTCAAGTGGGCTATGGCCAATATTGAGGTGTAGGGCTATTCACGGGTCAGGGTGGGTCGGTTTATTGAGATTTTTCCAACTAACCCGACCTGGTCGGGTTATTTGAAATTGAAATCGAAACCAACCCTGTGTTAAGTAAAACCGACCTAATCGGTTTGAGTCAGGTTGGGTCAGTTTAGGTCAGTTTCGGCTCTAAGTTCAACCATGGTAATAAATTGGTAGATTGGGCGTCAGAGAAGTAGCTAGCAACATCATCCAGCATGGAAAGCACATAAATTAAGAGAAAACAGGTCAATAACTTTGTGAAGCAGGAGCACCCCCCAATCAAGTTATTAAGAGAATAGAAAGTCAAACTGTATTAGAGAAATAAAACTGAAATTTGTATATTTCAAGAAACCTTCTAATCTAAGTAAAAAAGGACACATAATTCTAATTGTAATTGGTTGCCTATTTGGTGTAAAAGACCATAGAAACTAGGATCATTTGATTCTTTTCTTTAAACTTTTCCAAAAATATTCCTTATCTAGTTGTCTTACAATACTTGCCATTAATGTCATTCCTAACTAGAAGACTAAAACTTAAGTTAGGTTGTAACTACGATAGAGACAACCTAGTTAAGTAGGAACTAAGTAGGTTGTAACTACTAACTACTAAGTCGGTTCGGTTCGGGTCGGTTTTGGTTTTCACACATAAAAACCAAAACAGACCCGAACCATCAGTTTATGATTTTTTACAGCCTGAAACCGACCGGTGCTGAAGAAAACCCGACCGACTCGGGTTGGGTCGGTCCGGGTTGGGTCTTCTTATGAACAACCCTATTGAGGTGTAAATCAGGTCGTGCTCGACTTTGGACCGGCCTGGCATAACGGCATGTGCGTCGTGCCAGGCTCAGCACGATCGTGTGGATCATGCTGGGTTTGGGGTTTTAGGTTTGCAAGCCAAGTTGGTCTGTGTGCTGGGCCGGTTTGTGTGTCGACGCATGGTCCAGCCCATGGCCCGGCCCAACATGGCCCATATATATATTTTATATATATCTATATTATATTAATTATAATTATATAATAATATAGTATATAATATATTAATAAAATAAACAAATTTTTCAATTTTATTATATTAATTTATTTAATTATTGTATATATAAGCAATTGTATATATCAAAATTCATATAAAATTAAAACTTTAAGTTTTTTTTTCAATTTTAATAAATAGCTTTGGCCCGGACCACAGCCCGACCTGTGGCATGGCACTGGCCTGCATGGGCCCACACGGCCCATTTTACACCTCTAGGCCAACATGTCCATCGAAAGGAAATAGGAAATAACAAAACCTTCACTAGGTGTACAACCAAGGTTCAAAATATCGTATCGGTATTTAGGTACACGTGAAAATATATTTTTTTTTAGTTTTTTTTTATTTGGTTTTTGGGGAGTTAAATACAGGTATTTTTTATTAAAAAAGAGTGGGCCTCGAAACACCTTTAAACAAGCCTGTATCAGGACTCAAAAGATACGATATAGAACATATCATATTAAAATTTGGGAGAATGACCAATAACCCTAGGGTCAGAATTTGTAGGCTCAAAGTACATTTGGGGTAGGTGCCAGCTCAGAATTGATGCCAATTCATGGGCGGTATGAATGCATAGAGTGTAGTTTTGGACCTTCTAAATGTTTATAGCTTTGCAGTGGGAATCAAAAATCTACATTAGGCTTGTCCGTACTTTTCCATTGAAATTTTGAACCTTGCGTGAAACTATAGTTTTTTTTTTTTTGTTAGTGCGTGGAACTATAATTTAGTGAACTAAATTTTAGGTCCAGTCCTCTTGGGAGATGGGATTCCGACCCTTAATTACAACACTTGCAGATTGAGAATATCTCCGTACTTGTATCGAGATATTCTTAATGCATGACTAGGAGGGACTCTGCACCCAGTGTGAGCATTGTGAGGACCAAATCCAATTTCTAATCTAATCTATTGAATTGATCAATATAATGAACCAACTACTTAACATCAATTTGCTTCTTAACCCAAAATTTTATCTGAGGTCTTTAGCCTGTGTTTGGTGCAATTTTATTTGTATTAGTATAAATGCATGGGAGTGCAAATGAAAAAAAATGTAAATTCTCATTTAATTTTGTTTTAGGTTCTATTTTATTATGCTTCATGTCTTAATTTACTTCATTGGTAATGCAACCAAATAAAATAAGCTAAAATTTTAAATAAAAATAGGTCATAATTTACACCCAAATCATTTGCACATACTGACACAGCTTCACAAAAGTGCAAATTTATTTGCATTGCAACCAAGCACAGACTTAGAGATTTTATGAGCAAGCCAACTAGCACCTTCTTCTTAACTCATCATTAACTCTTAGGCTCCGTTTGCTTTTTGGATAGTTATTTGCCCGGTTAAGTATTTTTTGGGAAATACTAAATGCACTTATCCATTTTTTTTATTTTCCACGTAAATAAGATAATGACCATTTTATCCATAAAAATCATTATTAAAAAGGGCAATTTTATCCCATCCAAGTGTTGGCAACTTTCTCGTAGGTGGAGAAAGTTACTTACCCACCTAGGAGATTAGTATCACTTACCCGAATAAATTTTTCATTGAGCCTACATAAATATAAAAAAAGAATATGGGTATCTTGATCAATAGAAACCAAAATCATATTAACCAACTTCCCCCTCTCCAAATCTAAAAAACAAATAGACCCTTAGTATACATACATCTGTAAGAATGTATTATACATATCTAGAGGCCCAAGATGACCTAAACCTAATCCAAGCTCAACTTTGTGCTAAAATTGAGGTCCAAGCCTCGCCCTAGTTTCTAGACCAGTAGACCAAGCTAAACTCAATCAGACCAGGCGTGGCGTTATTGAGACCAGATATACTCCTCACATTGGGCGCCTCACACCAACTTTACAGGCACATCTCATCATGCATTGAGAACATCTCCCGCATTTATACGTTAGCATTCATGGGAGATGTTCTTATTGCATGGTGAAATGTGCCTCTAAGGCCGGTGTGAGGCACCCAGTGTGAGGAGCAGATCTGGTCTTGGCATTATCTCCATTCTGTAATGCTCACTCCCTTTCCCCTTATCTTTTATTTTCTTTTCTTTTTATATTTTCCTCAATTTCCCCCTCTTTTTACCCCGGGTAAAAGAGGACTATTTTGAGTGTGGCCCAATCACGCCATAATTGCACTCTGCCACTGCATAACTTGATGTATGTTCCGTTTTCCATAGCATTGCAGATTTATCCTTAGGGTGCAAATGATAGCCGATTGTTGGAATTTGAAATCAAATCCAATTTTATTAAGGGTGATCTAAATTCCATCGTTTATATTTGGATCAAATATGGATCCACCCCGACCATCCCTATCCAGCAATATGATATAATTATTGGATATTTATATTATAACATTAAAGTTGGTTTAAATATTGTATTTTCACTAAATCGTCATAGATTCAAGCTTATACATGTAATTTTCAATTAATTTTGTTTATAAAATATAATAGTAAAGTCGTTTTTAGTTCATTTTATTAATGATTTCGATCATTTCTATTCTAATTTATTTATACTATTTAATATCCAATAATTATCTGAATTCGCCTATATTCAATTCGATTTATCCTTTTGCAGCCCTACTCATCCTTAAATGGGTCCTATCTAAGTAGATGAAATGGGTATGGGAGCAAGTAATGCTGGGTTAAGCTAAATTGAGGTTATCCGCAGCTCAACCCAAGGCGTTTAAACCCCCCAACTCGACCTTCAACCCTATGTGGTCAATCCTAACCCATCCCAATCCAAAATTCTTCAATCTTAACTCAGCCCAACCCAAAGGCAACCTAATGTTGATTTGGGCTTCTTCGCTTTTTTTTTTTTCCCTTATGAAAGAATGTTGTCACTTCTTATACTTGGGTCAGCTGATTATGGTACAGTACGAGGGAATCATCCAACGGTGGATGTTAATGTTAAAAATGGTATATATATGCATGATACCGCTTAACATATGATATAGATGATACATTTGTTTAATTAGCACAAATATGAATAGATATGTCGGGTTCAGGGATAGGTCAAGTTGCTAGAACCAGAATGGTATAGGTCCATGCAGATGCTGCTTTGCACATAAGCTTTTTTAGGAGTTCACATCTGGCCCCCCACAGAATGCATCTCAAAAACTCCCCACATGCACATCTCAGTGTGCATTGAAAACATTTTTCGTATTTATTATGGGAGATGTTTCCAATACAAGATTGGGATGTGCTGTGGGACGTTTTTGGGCATAATCTGTGAGGGGCAGATTTAGATTTATGAATGTACGACATTTGTTAGAGGATCATTTGATAACTTTTAGCCAATTTAGGCCATACTTGTCAAGAAATAATTTATTTGGAGAGCTCAAGTTATTGAGTAGGTGAAAAAGGAAGAGTGCTTATAGAGGACCCTAGCTAGCTCTCGTGCTGTGTAGCACCTTGTCTCCATAAAGAACAAAAAAAAAGCGATCAATTTGATAAAGAATCAATGCAACGCCATGTAAAAGGACATAAATATCCTTGACACGAAAACGTTTAAAGCCAACTGATGGACTACATATATCTCCATCTTATGCTCTGAAGAGTGTGAGACTAAAATCGTCATTTCGTAAATACCAACGCCATGAAGGAGTAAGGACTGAATTAGGTAGTGTATGGTACTGAAAGTATGTGAGAATAACAATCCTGTTAATTGATGACCCACATTTCTTTTCCTAAGCATTGCCCTTTTCTTTAATAATTCATATGTGAATAATACAACATTTCTTCATTTAATTTCTACCCTAACGCCTATCACTACTGGGATTTCCTTCAGGTAATCTCGTCTCCAGTGGCTCCATCTCCAGAAGCAAACCTCTCTTGAATTCCACGTAAGGGTAGGCTAGCGGATAGTCTTCTCCTTTTGTTCTCCATCTGCGTGTGCCAAGCAAAATATTTAGAAAATTCATCAACTTAGGAAGCCTTTTTCTATTCTATGGGATGTATGACCAATTGACCATACATCTGTAGGGAATAAATTAATTGCCTATATTAAGCATTTAAGTCGGTGAACGCTTAAAAGCTAATCAATTATTTTACCTATAATTTAGGACAAGATGATGAAGGAAGAATGCAGTCTCTACTTTGGCAAGTTCGGCACCTGGACAGAGACGAAGCCCTCCACCAAAAGGTGAGAAGTTTTTGCCCGGTGCTTGACCCTATCAAGACAAATTTCAAAACCTGTTCATTAGATATGCATATGCCTGGATGTGGATATCGATATTGGGTCTACATAATGCTGGTCCAAGATGGACCTCACTTGGGCTATTGCCAATTGCTGCACAGAACATAAGACCAGTATATACTAGTCTGGTCCCTCCTAACTTTAATTCTAGGGCCTCACTTTTATATGATCAAGACCACCACAGACTCACAGAGTGGTACCACTTCGGACATTAACAAGGCCAAAAGTTTAGCTTCAATATGTGGTGATAACTGATTAACTGGTTGGATATTTTTGCTTCATCTGAGCGGTGGGAAAGAAGCTTCTACTAAAGGAACCAACAAAAAAAAGCCGATCAACCATGTTGATGTTGGGCGAGGTCGGGTCAGTGTATTTGTGTTGGGCCAGTGGATCATTGGACTCATTTTTTGGTAAATGTCCGGTGATTGCCCCGGCCGATATGGTTATGGTACGTACTAGTTAATATGACCCCATAATCAGAATGTGACGTATCTATTTGGTTTGGTATCCTAGGAGACCAATACATAATACATATCTAGAAGAATGGGACCTACATCAATTGTAACATCTTGAAAGGCCATCATATCCCATGCATGCATTAAATTATGCTTTATGCATGCGTATAAAAAATGTTTATGCGTGAAACATATATGTTAATTTGATCATGTAGTGCTTGTCAACATGTATATTTTATGATTTCGGTATGTGTATGTATGTATATGTTTGTAAGTGTGATGCATGTGATTGTCTATTGCCTAGCTAAGGTAACTAATTAAGATATAAGAGAGAAATATGTATGTAATACATACAACCCATCTCCAAGGATTGAACTCTGATGCATTTTCATGAAGAGATGGGTCTAGATGTACGGCTGTAAAGATGGGAAGAACCTTCCATCCAGAGGGAATGAAGTACCCTGCAACAACCACAAACAAAGTTCAAAGTTCACCACAGAGAGAGAGAGAGAAGAGCATCTCAACAAAAGGTAACATAGAGATAGAAATGGAATAATATTGACGAAGACCTTTGAAGTTGACATCCTTAATCGCCTTCCTGTGAACAAACTTGACTACGTTACCACATCTTAGAGCTTCATTGATGACCTAAAACAATCGCCATTAATCAGCCTCATTATAAATGCCTCAACAAATGCATTTCAAAGGGAGAGATAAAGAGCAATACTGTTACTGGTTTACAACATTTTGTGTGAACTCCATTTGCTTGTAATCTTCCCAATTCAAGGATTCTTTCTCTGGCTTGTACTTCCTTATAGCCTCGTGTTCTTCCTGTACAGTTGTTAATTAGAATGAAACCCTTTGTAAGAAGCTGTAACATAAAGCTCTTTTCTACTGTCTTCTCCTTTTGTTTGCATTGATTTTCTTTTTTAAGAAGGAGCGAGATGGAGAGAGAGAGAGAGATGCATACCTTTAGATGCTCAAGAGCATGTGGTGAGTGAGCAAGAAAGTAGACAGTTAAGGCCATAAGTATCGAGGTAGTTTCGTATCCTCCGAGCAGAAGATCCAACACAATACTCACTTTCCCTTCATCATTTAAGCTTGCATTTGACAAAAGCACATCTAAAAAGTCTCCTTTTTTAAGCCCCACATCCACCTTTTCCCTTTCTTTTATAATGGAACTCACCGTGGAAGAAATCCTCGCTCTGGCCTGAACATCCAGCGAACAGAGAGAGAGAGAGAGAGGCTTCAAAGGGTTAGCTGCGCGGTAATACAAGTGGAAACAGTAAAGTATATACCTGGTTGAAGCTAGCTAGCTAGGATTTGTTGTTTTTGTGGGTAAAGCTAGAGTACCTTAACTGCCTTGGCGTATGGGGTTCCTGGTATATATATCGGGAGAGACACCAACCCCTTCATGAAGGTAAGAAAGTCTTTCAATATCTTTGAGGCTACTGGATCTTCCGGTTCCATGCTAAGTATTTCTTTCACTATCAGATTGAACGTGAACTGTTGCAGGTGGAATAATATTATTTAATTAATTATATAATAATTAAGAAGGATATATTAATAAGTTAATATATATATATATATTTCTTGCCTTCTTGGCTTCTTCATAGAACATGACTTCCTTTCTCTCCTTCCAGGACTCCATGAGACTGATCGCGAGCTTCTCTATGTCGTGGAGGTATTCGGGCTTTGACTTGCATGTACTGGCCAAGCTAAGTGCGAAGCTTCTTAGTTTCTTGTGAACATCACCAACCACAACGAGCAAAGAATGCTTTCCGAGTATTCCGTGGATGGGCTTGGGGTAGCTGCACTGGAATAGCTTCTCTTCGTTCTGAAGGATGAACATGTTGAGCTCGTGGTCGCAGGAGACGATGGTTGGACACCCAAATAGATGAGACTTGAAAATTTTCCCGTACCTGCAGGGGAGGAATTAAGCTAAGCAAAATTAAAGAAAAGAAAAACAAAACAAACGGATCGAGACTACTTAAAAAATTAATTAATTATCTCTACATATATTAATCGATGCGATCATTGTCTGCAAAAGCCATTGAGCTGCGACTCAATCATCAGGTCAGGAGCAAGGTTGAGCCAATGAATGAGGTACCGATAGACATTAACTAATTAGCTAAGCTAGCTAGCTAAATACATACTGGAAGCTAGAAAGAGTACTTCTTAAACCTGGCACTTCATGGAACAGAGAAAAAAAGAAGAAATGCAAGAGAAATTTGATCAGAAGATGATTTATCACCTAGAGCAATGGTCGTCTAAGAAGCTCCCCCGAGTGTTTGATTGGTGTGGCCTGAGGAAGGCCAGGGTTTCCCCCAGCTGAAAGGGCCATCCCATGCTCCCATGAGGTAAGTTATTGATGGGCTCTTGTTTTAAAAACAAGGATTGTAGGAAAACAAAAGCCAAAACTAGTCCTAGCGAGGTAGCTAATAAAAGTGGCAGGAGAAGTAGTACTCCAATTCCAACCATAATGCTTTTTCTTTTTCTTTTTTGAATCAGTTGGTACCTTCTCCCATATAAAAAAAGAAACTGAGCTCTCCCTATTGACAAGCTAGAGAGGGAGAGGAGGAGCTGAGCCACTACTTTTGCAATGCAGTGATCACCTCCTCCAAACCCCCTGCCAAGCTTTCAACACTCTCCATTGGTTTGCCGCCCCCTTATTAGCTTCTCTTGACAATTTAAACATTTCAAGCCATCCAACCTTTTTAGCTTTCAAGCGTGAGATTCTCCATCCACAATGTTTTGATCTTGTTTTGGTTCTCTACGTGTCTCAAGTCTCAACGGAACGGCGTACCAATTTTACTCCCCGAATCCAAAAAAAGAGAAATGGGTTTTCCTGAAACTCCACAGCTACACTGGAAGTACTAGTGCAAAAATTTAAGCAGTCCTTGTATAATTTGACCAAAATAACCTTGGTTCCAAATGGGTCAACTCTCTAATTAATGCTTGAACAAACCCAGAATTATTTATCTTTTATTCCAAGAGAAAATTAATTACCTATATTTCAGGACGTGAAAAACATCACATATGTAAGTATGTAACAACATATATATATATATATATATATATATAACCGGCATAAGAAAGTGGATAAAATTATTGAACCCTGAAATTAATTATTTCCCCGTAGATCTCTCATCTCATCTCTCCATAACAAATTAAGGCCCTATGGTTATGGCTTATGGGGAGCTAAACCACTTTCAGCTCAAAGCATATATATAAAATATATGATGATCAGAGAAGACAATTAATGAGAATGAATTAGATAGCAAATAAATCCAAGTTTCACCAAACGTTCAATAAAAACCACTGTATCTCTCTTCTCTCCACACAGATGTCGATCGGTGCCTCTGATACATTGTACATTATTAACGAGATTTCTTTCTATATATGCCACATCTTCATAGTCTCTCTCTCTCTCTCTCTTTCAAAAGAGAGTATATATCCAAATTAAGAAGTATTAAGAAAGGCAAAGAAAAAGAAGAATTAAAATGGCTTATACATGACTAATAGCCGGTGAATGGAGTGTGATTGATGGGTACTTAAAAGTGAAAAAGGATTACTTAGAGCAATTAGCATCAACACAGCACCCCAATACGTTATTTTAGCCAAGGCAGGCACCTACCCCTCGGTCCCTCCTACACTACAAAACCCCTTTTTGACCTGGCCCTCTTGTCCCCAAGTTTTCAATCTTACGTGCACTTGCCATAGACAACTTAATCAAGCAATGTGAACTCTAACTCCCTTTAAAAAAATGAAGGTTGGTTCCCTAAAGGAGAGCTAGGAGGGAACATGCCCAATAAAAATTTCCACGCCTTTTTAGAGGTTGATAGATTTAATTATAAGGGGAAACTGATTATACAATTTACATAGATCGATGGAATTTTAATTTCTTTTATATATACGTAGGCGCCTGATGTAGATACATATAAATATATAGATGGGTTCAAGACAGAGATCTTATGCCATTACTGTTTCGCCATCATCAGCTAGCTTTAATAAATTTGATGACTAGCTACTCCATTTTATACCTGCTTTTAGCTTCACCTAACACATTTTTCTGCTTTTGTTAGTCAAGATCAGATCGATCAGTTCAGTTGTTCACTTGTTGTTTTTTAGCCAGGTCGTCCTGTTAGGACCCACTATTATATATTTGCTGACACTGTTTTATTTTTGCTACTTACAGTGGTGATGGTGGTGCTGGTGGGCATTAAAGCACTATGGAGCTTCCGATCTTGAATAAAATGAATAACATCTAGAAAACCCCATGGGCAACAGTCCAATAAAGTCATAAACTCATGTATGAAAGATTATATAATTCGATCGGGTTCATTCATGAGAGATATTATGGATCAGTGGAAGAAAGGTCGTCAACTCGTCATTGATTTTATTGGCACTATAACTTGACAAAGTAATTTAAATTAGTCTTCTTTTTTATTTTCCAATAATTTGCAATTAAGAATCTGGGGAGAGTAACAACTAACAATGGGGGTGGGTCGTCTGGTTAAGCTTCCTGCGGGGGCCGTTCATGGTGTGTGAGAACTGAGAAGTGACTAATCATTTAATTTGTGTATCAGCAAAGTGTTCAATGTATGGTAGGTAGATATAATGGAATTTCCTGTTTCCCTTAACTGGACAAGATGGACCCCATAAGGCTCATTTGAACGGTGGTTTAGGGACCAAATCCCAATATCATCTTTTGGGTTACATAATGAATATATATTTTTTTTATTCTTATTCCCTCTAGATTTTTGATTTGTTATTCGCGTATAAGCAAAGTTTAAAGTATCAGAAACATCAAGTGTATTGAAAAGATAATTTTAAGAAATGTATCGAAATACGCCTTAGATATGCATGTGTATCAGAAACAAACTAAGATACACATAAATACGTTTGGAAACACTATAAATACTTTAATAAATCATAAAAATACATCAATAACACTGAATATAAGACCTCGATGAGGTGTATATACATTAAATTAATATATTTTAGTGGTTTTATGAAAAAATATAATGTATTTAATTATAACTGCATTAAAATCCTATGCTTAACTATGATTTTTAAATTATAATTCTTAAGTTTTAATGTTTATGGGATGGGAAAATCCCAAATCTCCTATCTAACCATAAAACATGCATTGGCGCAACTTTTAAGTGAAAATATAATTACTAATTATTTATTATTTAAATAATAATTATTTATTATTTATTTCCAAAAATTAAAAAAATAAATAAATATTATATAATATATTCAAAAAATAGTTATTAAAGAATAAATTTTTATTGCTTTGTGGATATGATAGATCATCTATAGAATTATAATATATTCAATCATTGTGATCAAATGATAAAATATAATTAATTATTTAATTTTTAATTCTAAAAATAAAAAAAAATAAAAATATATATATTAAAGAAGAAATTTCCAATTGCTCTATGGATATGATAGATAAATCCATAGATCTAAAACATATTTAGTCTTTATAGGCAAAGAAAAAATTGGATTTTCAAATTTTTTGTTAATTTATATTTTCCCCAAATATATTCATGAAATTTCCATAAATCTACTGATAACACAAAAAAAAAATGATTTTGAATGTAATAAATGTAGATCAGTATAAATTTAAACATTCAAGAAAAAAAGAAATCACAAGATATTATAAAAAATTGAAAAACTTACCTATTTTTGCCATATTTTTTCAAAATTTGAAAATTCTTAAAAAAATAACGATTTACACTTGCAAATCTAGCACTCTAGCAATGAGGTTTAGAGTTTTAGAGTCATTTAGAGGTGAAAAAAGGTATATTTTAGGGAAAAGAAGTTTGCTTTTTCCCTTTATTTTTTTTCACTTTTGATTGTATCTTTTTCATCGATACGCTATCGAGATGCCTCAATACGCCCCGTATCAGGAAATTTTAAACCTTGCATATAAGATGATTCTGAAAGGATGGTTATGCCTATATCCACTTCTACCCCTTGTAATAGGAAGAAAATCTAGGTAATGGCACTATTACAGCTCGGGGTGCAACCTTGCAAGGATTCTTTTAAAAATTAAATGCTATCTTTTTTAGGGTTTTTTCTTTTCTTTCCTATGTGAATGTCTTTGTCGTAAATGATGAAATGCTTCCACTTCCCAAAAGTGTGTTCATCGGGAAGAGATGGGTTTTGTTTGTGTTGTCAATTGTTTTGTTTGTTTTAATTTAATCTTGTATTGGGTTGGGTTGAATTGGTGATAAAAGTGCGCCTCTTTTATGAATTTGGGGCAAGGCGGGCTACATCTTCTTTTATATAATTTTTTTTTAAATGAATAAAATTTAGGGTAAAATACAAAAATCTCTCTTGAAGTTTTTGACAATCATAAAACTTACCCTATAGTTTCATTTAAACAAATACCATCCTTAAACTTTTTAAAAACTCAACAAAAACCTCCCTTCTGTCATCGTCCCAAACGGAAAATGTTAGGCTGATGCATCAGTTTTTCCAAATACCCATTCTACCCTTTTATAAATTATTTTATATACAAAATTACTGAAATAACCCTGTTTTAACTCGATAAAAATCTCCTTTAGCGATCATGTAATTTTACATACAAAATTACTGAAATATGTATTTTTGTTGAGTTAAAATAGAATTATTTTAATAATTTTATATATAACATAATTTATAAAAGGGTAGAATGGATATTTGAAAAAAAAAAAAACTAGTGCATGAGTTCCAAAACTTCAGACGAGGCATTTGTTAAAATGAAACTAGGAGGTTTTTGTATTTAAGGTGATTGTCTATCCGTTTTTTTTTTTTTTTTTAATAATAAGAGGAGTTCCATAAGACCGGGTAAGTCGACCCCAATATCACACAAAGAAATGAAAACTAACTCAGTAGGAACAGCATGGAGGATAAAATAGCATAGGATTCCATTTATTTGACAGAGCTTTATGCCAAGACAATCACAGAGGATTCAGTCTCTCCACTTTGACTAAACTTGGGGGTTAAAAAAATCGGATTTATCGATTAACCAACCGGTGATTTGATAGTTCAATTCAGCCTCAGCCAATTAAAAACATTGAAAGAGCATGTCTACTCACGTTTGGCAACTTGTCGACCATCATCCGTTCTCATTCATGCACGCAAGGCAACACTAATACTATTTATATATGCCCACACGCTTAGTATATATAGACTTATAGTACATCTGATGATTCTTCAGTTCTAAATTGTGGCTAAAAATAAGAGACGGTTTCAGAAAGTTCGATCCTACTCTGGGAAGCCCAGTTTTAAAGAGGGTTGGCAAAGAGCACTGGTGCTATGTGCATGACAAAAAGGTAAAGAGTGTTGTTCGAAATCCTTATTGTGTTGACTGAATTTTACAGAAAGAAGATTCGAACCTACAGTTCACTTAACCCTAGAGCTGGAGCTGCAAGCTTTGTGTCTTTGGCCCAAGGTGCCTGGGCCGCATGCCACTCTCAGTGCGATTGAGCTTTTTGAATCACATTCAATAAAAAGTAAGATGGATGTTCCTAAAAGATAAAACCCATATGAATATATAGGGACCACGTGGCAAGAGGCTTTAGACAAATTCCATCCTTAATCAATGTATTTGCTTATGTTAGAGGGAGGGAGAGAGATCTTAGTGAGGTAGGGGAGCATTGATTGGACATTGGGAGTGCCGGATTGGATGGAAAGCAAGATGTTTTGGACTGTAATCCAACTCTATCGTCTAGGGGGTGAAAAAAGGAGGGAAAATGACCAATCAAAGCCTGCTTTATCAATCTGTATTTATGTCTACAAGACCCTGATTGCACGTTTATGCAACATATATTATTATAGTTCCGTGTTGGGTCCTCCAAATTCGAATTGCAACACCACTCCTACAGGGTAGAATAGAGAAAGCTTGATTGATTGATTTAATTGCTTTTATTAAAAGGTAAAGCCCTAATTGTGGGCAAGATTGAACTTATTGGTCTTCAATCAAAAACACTCATGAGAGGCGTGCATGGTGGGGGCACAAAATTTATTTGTTTTTTTTTATTATTATTATTAAAACCTCTTCATGGCCATGAAAAGACCAAAAGAATGGAATGATACTGATAAATAAAATCTAAATCTACATTATATTAGAGGAAATGGGGAGGCAAGTCGTCTCATCTCACCTTTCTTACACTTGTCGTTTCTTTATATTTAAATTAAAAAATGTATGTAATTCTTAATTCTCTCCATTAAAATCTGTCTTAAACCCCGTTAACTCAATAATCAATTTTCAATTTTTAGATACTTCACCTTTTCCTATTATATCCTTTTTAGAGTTGGGTTTAGAATGGGCTTGATTCAACCCGCACCCAACCTGAAATCACTCAATGTATTTGTTACATGTTCACGGCTCCAATCTTTTATAAGGTAAAATTATGTGAAAAATGTATTTAGTTTCACGATATTATTCATAATGATAAGATTGTCAATGGGTCGGGTCTATCCAATGGAGCTGAACCAACCGAATCAATTATAATGGTTCTGATTTTATGATTTTGTTCTGATAAATAAATGGGTTAGTTATGGCTATTACAAATTGATTCAAACGCGAAGCTGATTATTTTATTAAATATATATATGCTTCTTAATTTTCTTATAATTTTTATCATATTTTATGTTTGAAATGGTAAATTTAATAGATAATAAATAAGATCATATTAAATAATTTTTTTTAATTTATTAACATGTAAAATTTAATATTTTTTATCATTTTTATTAAGGTTATATTATCAAAATTTAAATTAAATTTTAAGATATTATTTAATATAAATAAATATAATTTTTAATTTAATTGGGTCTATCATGTCTAGACCTGATACCTAACTATTAACTAGGATGGTTCTAGATCTGTGATTTTGTCCCAATTAATAATCAGTTCATGAATGGTTCTACCTAGACTTGACCAGACTCAATCCGTTGATAGTAGGGGTGGCCACGACCCAAGCCTTTCACGAGCTTTTCAAGCTTGGCTTGTGAAAAGCTCGGCTTGGCTCAGTTTAAATCGAGCTTCAAGCTAAATTCAAGCCCAATGAACCTCAGCTCGTGAGGCTCGCGAGCCTAGTATTAAATAAATAATTTTTATTACATACATACATATATATAATAATATTTTATTTTTATGTATAATAGTAAATAATTTTTATAATTCTTAATTTTTGTTTGAAAAGTATAAAAGAAATATTTTTATACATATAATTTTTATTTTTCAAAAAAAAAAACATGGCTTATAGTCAAGTTCGAGCCAAGTTGAGCTCGAACTTGTGAACTATGAACTGAGCCAAGTTCGAGCTCAAGTCTCTAGTTTGAATCGAACTCGAGCCTAATACTAATCCTACGAGTCAAACTTGAATAACCAAGTATTCGGCTCGACTCAACTCAAATCTAACCCTAAGCCCAGGCAATATGTGTGAATCTGATTCAATAAGAACCCGGAACAAGTTGGTTTAGAGCAGCTTAAATAGAATAAGAATACAGTCATACTGGGACATTGAAATCCCTATTTTTTTTATCATACTATTGACAGGGAGATGTAACTGACTTTGTTGATGAATGGATGATACCTAAGAGCAATTTTCCAAAAAAAAAATGATGTCCAAGAAACACGTGAAATATAGACTTAATTCAAAATCAGTAAATTCATGCAAAACTAGCATAAATATATAGAATTAAGGGAAAAACTATGCTGCCTGAAAGACATGATGCCGGAAGGGCCTGACCAACCAACCCCCAGTTGAATTTCGATAAATACTACGTGATCAGTTACTATTTTTATGCAAGGTTTAAAAGCATTGATATACTTTTGTGTATTGGCAGGGTGTATCGATATTTTTTTGGCCACGTTTTTTTTATGTTTTTATTTTTTTCAATTTCATTTTTATAAAGATTTTTATATTATTTAATCAATAAAAAAATTGGGGTCCTAAAAACCTGTAAACAGGTGTATCAGATACCAAAGATACGATACGATAAACCTAAATCAATAATTTATGATATGGGTTCATTGGTTACAAGTTTGTATCATAGTCCAACCTAAACTAAATATAGAAGAAAAAAAAAAAATATATATATATATATATATATATATATATATATATATATAAGAAATGAACAAAGATAGGTTTATATTAATGAAGCTCCTGTTTCTTGCTATTACTGATTACTCGGTTTCTGCTTTGCCCCACGGTTGCTTAGCTTCTTTCTTACAAATAAAAAAAAGGCCCAAGCCCAAGATGATAGAGCCCATCAAAACAGCCATAGCGGGTTGCAGCCCCAAGTGTGAAGTGGCCACTTTAAACCTTTCAGGGCCAAGCCTGTTGTGGACTGCTTTGAAATTGGACATGGACCTTCAGCTAAAATACTGAACGATATTGCTGCTTCATAACGGTTGAAATTGTAAACTGAAAATTTTATTATTTTTATTAATTGTTAAAATAATTAAATAATAAAAGTTTAAAGAATATAATGATATATTCAACTTCAGTTTCAGTCAGTCGATACAATGAAGCTCAGCTCATGAGACCCGGGAGTCTAGTATAATAAATATTTTTTTATTATATATATACATACATACATATATATACTAAATATTTTTTATTATATATAATAATATTTTATATATAACACTTTTATTTTTATGTATAATAGTAAATAATTTTTATAATTCTTAATTTTTTGTATGTAAAATAAAAAATATTTTTTATATGTATAATTCGTATTTTTTAGAAAAAAAACTTGATTTGCAATCGGGTTCGAGTCGAGCCGAATTTGAACTTGCAAGCTTTGAACTGAGCCATATTCAAACTCAAGTCTCTACCTCGAATTGAACTTGAACTTGAACCTAACACAGTTTCAGCGAGCCGAACTCAAATAATCAAATATTCAGCTCGACTTGATTGGGATTCACCCTTATCAGTCATTAAGGAGTCTACAACCTCCTTAAAATCTTATTTATTAAAAGACAAAACGATAAACTTTTCAGATCAGTATCTTCAGCTGTTATCAAACGGACCCAACTCGACCAAAATTTCCTAGGCTCATAACATAAACAACCAGTTGGGATGGGCTCCCCACAGGCACTCGTCGTCATGACAACTCTCACTGTTCATCATTGTAAAAAATAAATATGTAAAGGCATCTCTCTCTCTCAATTGTATTGTATGCCACAAGATTTTGCAAAAACCACAACCACTGATCACTTATCGCTACCTAATAATTAAGATCCCGTTTCCAATGTATGATTTCATAAATAAGAAAGCCCCAATGCTCACGATTCATCCGCTCCCCAAGCCATGGTATCTGTCTTCTCCTTGGCAACTTCAAAACCACTCTTCTCCTCCGCTAATAGCAGCAGCATCCGCTTTCTCTAGGCGGACGGGAGTTGTTGTAATAACATCCTTGTCGGATACCCACCATGAAAGCAAGCAAATCAAAGCATCCTCAGGAGGCAAAATCAAACGCCTTGTTCTCACACAAGAAGGTAGAACCAAGCTCAACACTTACCCTGATAGAGAATTTTACTCCTACCCGCGTTTCGTCACCCATGTCGATGATGGTTTTATATCCACCTTAACTGAACTCTATAGGCAACGGCTGAAGCCTGGTTCACACATACTTGACCTTATGAGCTCTTGGGTTAGCCATCTCCCAAAAGAGGTTGAGTACAAGAGGGTGGTGGGACATGGGCTAAATGCGCAAGAGCTCTCCAAGAACCCAAGATTTGATTATTTTTTTGTGAAGGACCTCAATCAGGATCAAGAGCTTGCAATTGAGAGTTGTAGTTTGGATGCGGTCTTGTGCACAGTTAGTGTGCAGTATCTCCAACAGCCTGAGAAGGTAAGATGGATACGATGGTTTGTTTCTTTAATTAATTATTAGCTGGAAAAGGTTTTCTCTTGACAAGCATAGACCTGGCGTCTTCGTTACATGTCCATATTTCTTGATGGACGCCTGCACCATCCAGCATTAGCACTACACTTGTTTTTGTTTTCAAAAACAAAAGCCAACGATGTTGTCCAACACTCCCCAAATGTGCAGAATAAGTTCTGAATTATTGGACCAATTGGACCCTACAAGGTCGGTAGGTGAATTTGGATCTGGACACATGGCCCCAACAAGTCATTGTACGGCTGCAATATAATGGCTTGTTCAGATGGTGGGACGAGATCTGAACTTGTTCCAGGCTGAATGGGCCTGGAATTAATTAGTCTCACATAATTATCAGTTTTCTTCTAAGGAAGGTAGGGAAAGATGGTACCTACAACTAAGCCTCCCATGTATAAATGAGCTGTGAAATGTAAGAGAGGTTGATAAAGAGATTGGATTAGGACAAAGACACAAAAATTTCCCAATATTAATCGAGTTACTGACTTCCTTGTCTTCAGGTATTTGCTGAGGTTGTTAGGGTGCTGAAGCCTGGAGGAGTGTTTATTGTGAGCTTCAGCAATCGGATGTTCTATGAAAAAGCCGTTAGCGCATGGAGAGATGGGACCGCATATAGTCGGGTTCAATTGGTGGTCCAATACTTCCAAAGCGTGGAAGGGTTCACAGAGCCAGAAATCATTCGAAAGTTAATAAGCAGTGACAGTGGTGCTACTCAAGCAAACGATTCTCCCTTCGATTGGATCATGAAGTTGCTTGGGCTTTTGTCTGGAGCAGACCCTTTCTATGCAGTAATAGCTTACAGAAACTTCAAACCAGTATGTGATTGAGTAACCTGATTCAGATGAGGGAAGGAAGAGGACAACACTATACTGCTTCTATAAAATAATTGTTCTATTATTTTTCCTATATTTATCTTTTATTGCTTTTACAATCCATGTATGGAGAGAATAGCTAAGTCTTCCGTGTTCTAGATATATAGCTTACAAACAAACCTAGCAATAAAATGAGCTACACCATTACCACGTTAATTCATCTTCCAAGCGATATAGGATAGGAGGCCGGTTTCAAAACATATATCGTTCCAGTGGATCAGGCGTTCAGACAACTCAGTGGCCCATGTAATTAAAGAGGAGCCTAGTGCATGAGGCTTCCGCAAATGCGGTGGCCCATGTCATTGCGGCCCATAAAATGCATAGTCCAGGTTGCATCAGCTATAATGCACTGAAACATCGGCTTCAGTCAGTCTAAGATCCGTTGGGACACTTTGGGAATATTTTGTACTGGAAAACATTTTCAATGCACTGACTGAATCAGGTTTCGTGCACTGATGCTAAAGGTCCTCCTTGGCCAGAGAAGTTGCCAAATTAGTAGATATTGATGTTTGATAAGTGATAATTTTTGTTTTCTTTCATTTGTTTTATAATATTAAAAAAAAAAAAGGTTTCACTCTGGGAAACACACTATGCAAACTTGAACCATGGCTGTGTTTGATTTGAAGGAAAAAGTAAGGAAAGGAAGGAAAATACAGGGAAACTTATACAAACCAAACAAAGCCTATGTTTCCCTTCCTTTCCCTTCAAACCAAACATAGCCTATGTGAAAGTATGGAACAGATTTAAGGGGGTGTTTGGGAAGCATGATTGGTTTAATTTTTTCAAACAAAAATGATTTATGCATAAGCAGAATTATATATTTTTGCTGATGTAGCAGTTGTGTTTATTTTGAGAAACAAAATATAAGCGTTCGTGAACAACTGAGCATGCCCTAATACACGATCATGATTGTAATCATGAATGAAATTAATATAACTCCACTAAACACTAATCCGTTTGTTTGCCATGCAAATTTGAGTCAAATACGAATTTTGTACATTTATTTGTAATTATCATTTACATTCTTATCTGATGCAAAATTTATAATTTTTTTTTATTTCATTTGCAGTGCCAATTTTGCATTTAAAAAGCTTACCACTTTTTTTTCCGAAAGAAATATCTTTCTCTCACCTATATTCTCTCTTACATGGAGTAGGAACCACATCATTTTACTCCTTCAAACAACCAAAACAGTCAAATTTGGTAGAGAAATAAATCAAGATTACAGCCCATTTGTACTCCTATTCATTTATACTGATTTGCACCACTTCAAATGAAATTCACACTTCAAAGAAATGGAACTATAAGGGCCAAAAAGGTTGCATAACTTGGCAAGACATAAGAGTACTGAAAACAACAACAGTTTTCTCCGGATCACTTACGTTGATGGGAAACTTTTACCCTATGCATCAATGGTTGTAAATTGTCATCCCTAAGGCTCTGTTTGGTTGCAATGCAAATCTATGACAGTGCAAATGATTTGAGTGTAAATTCTGATCTATTTTTGTTTCAAATTTTAGTTTATTTTGTTTGACTGCAATACAAATGGAGTAAATTAAAACATGAAGCAAAATAAAGTAAAACCCGAAATAGAATTAAACAAAAATTTGCATTTTTCATTTGCACTCCCATGCGTTTATACTAGTGCAAATAAAATTGAGCTGCAACCAAACACAGCCGTAGGGTAAAAGTTTGGAAGGAGCACAAATACAAATATGTAGAGTGCAAAACTTTGTATTGTGCACCATACTCACAACACAAAATCGATCACCAAGCTTGACATGCAACATACTTATGACCATAGGGAGCCTACCACTTACTGCTACATATCCGGACACACGCCACCATGGGTGGTATCATGATAACCACATACATTCTTAAAAACTGCTCTCGCCCAACCCATTCGACCATGGGGATTCAACAAAGCCATAAAAGCCATCACATGCAAATTATTTAACCATGGGGAAAGAGGGAAAGCCATGGGAGTCACCATGTGCATCTGTCAATGTTTGCACCCAGTCAAACCTGAGGCTCTAATATCACTTGTTGTGCCTCAAGGGGGTCATAGACCATGAGGAGTCGCACCAAAACCAAGGGCTCATACATGTACACATGTGTAAGACGTATACACAAGAGATGGGCACCACTTACGTACAATCCAAAAGCCTAAGCTATTGAGTTATAGACCACTCTTGTATAAGTCCTTTGCACTTCTTGTGTCTTTCCAATGTGGGACTCTTTTGATGATGGGTGATTTGGCCCGACCTAGCGAAAAGGGGACACATAGACACGACCTGACTAAGAGATGACAACTCAGTCTGGCAAGATTAGTTCGCAACAATTGAGCTCGGCACAAGGCTCACCTCGGCACAGGGTCACCTCGACACAGAGTCACATCGGCATTCAATCCAGTTTGGAACTAAATGACTGAAGTATCAACTCGGGGCTACCGACCCGGACCACCACGTAACGATCCCGAAAGTCTCTCCAACAGACTCCGAACCTCACGGGATCACGCCGCGTAACGGTAGGCTTTACCTTCCCCCTGCCCGGTTCGGGCGAAATTGATAATCTTTATTAGTTGATAACGTTATGCTCTAATTAAAGCGGAAACGGATACCATCAAGATGAAGATCCCGGAACCGATCCACAAAACCCGCGAGGGCTCAACTATATAAAGGCACCAATCCCAATGACACAAGGTACGTGTGATTTTTCTACTCTCTAGCTCTCTAGCTCTCAAAGCTTTTTCAGCTCGCATCATAGTTTACTGACTTAAGCATCGGAGTGACCTCGTCGGGTTAGCCACCCCGGGTTCTCTGATCCATTGTCTTGTAGATTCACCTAGTTCGCTGCCCGACTGGAAGCCAGATCATCCTCCAACAGGGAGTAGTCAAATCGCACTACATCAATTGGCGTCGTCTGTGGGAAATCGATCGAAAAGCCTTCTTTACAGTCATCAACTTTCCTCTGAATCAATGACATCTTCCAGTCACGTCGGACAAAGCAGCTAGATGAACGTCTACGGGGGACAACCCCAACTCCCATCAGTGTGCATCGGCCAGTTCACCATCCCGCTTACTGCGGCTGGGGTTCCAACGCTGACCATGCCACCAAGCACCACACAGGTGAACGCCCCACTTCCCCCAGTGGTAGGCGTAACCTTTTATGAGCCTTCAATGGTTCCCCTCGGAGTTGGACAGTCCCAGTTTGACGACCTGGTGCAGTGTGTATGGGCCATCCAGGTCCAAATGCAGCAGGTTCAGCAATTCCAGCAGTACCTATTCTACTAGAAGCAGTTCCCCCACTGTCGCAGAGCCAACAACCGGTTCCACCTTGGTACCCAGGGGCCCAACAGAATCAAAACTGACCTCGCGTAAACCAGGACATCATTCGATCTCCCCACCGAGGTGAAGAGACTTTGCAAGTCCCAGTTCCTCCCAGGAGTTAGGTCTCACCTCGCGGGAGGAGAGACGATCAAATCACCCCACTTGCTTTGCAAGGGAACCTCAGAAACAGATCCGGGGATACTCAGCCTAATAGGGCCAATTTTCCTCGACGTTCGTAGCAAGAAGGTGGGTCGCTTGCAGGTGACCGATTCGGGGTTCTAGGCACGAACTCAAGGCAAGGCCTCTCCATCCATGATAACCAGCCCCAAAATCCCACGAGGAACCAGGAGCTACCTCGCGGCAGAACAGTACCAGAGCATACCAAGATTAGCAGCAACGGAGGCGTCGCAAGGCACGTTGTATTTCAGCTCATAATAGCCAGCCAGCAAGACCGAACCAACAAGAAGGACATGCTAAAGGTAAGGAGGAGGCAAGCTTGGTAGCTACAAAGGCCGCTCCTCCCCTACTTTCCAGGTTGTCTCCCCTGTCTCCCGAACTCTTGGCGACCCCGATGCCCAAAGATTTCAAAATGCCTCCACTAAACAAGTATGACGGGTCTTTTGATCCTAATGATCATGTGGACTCCTTCTAGTCCTAGATGCACCAAGCTGGGGCTGACGAGTCTTGCATGTGCGTGGCTTTCTCCACCACTTTTAAGGGGGTAGTTCGGACCTAGTACCGGAACCTCACACCGGGATTGATCAAGAGCTGGGCGCAGTTCGCAGAGTTGTTTACCTCGCACTTCATCACCAGCAAGAAGTGCCCAAGGTCGCAGGAGAGCCTCCTCAATGTGGTTCAAAGAGAAAGAGAGTTGATTAAAAGCTACATCAAGCACTTCAACGACACCTGCCTGCAGATCCCCAACTTAGACCCTGTAAGACTCACGACAGCCAAGAAAGGAATAACTCATAGAGAGTTCAAATGGCATGTGGTGGCCAATAAACCAAAAGACATTACAGAATTCCTCAAGCTAGCCGACCAGTTCATCGGAACCGAAGAGAAAATGAACCAAAAGACTGACAACCTGACAGAAAAAAGAAAAAGAGAGTGGCAACACAAGTAATGACGGGTACAAAAGAAGAAAGAGTAAGTCCCCAAGCAGGGGAGGAAACAAGTCTGGGAGTCGATCTCCTTCGCGATCTCGCAAGTCAGGTCAGCGCTCCAGGACCCCACTTGTTGAAAGGATGAACTATACACCTCGCAATGCTAAGCAAGGAGAAATCTTAATGGCCATCAAGGACTCCTCCTTTGTCAATTGGCCTCCTAGGTTGAGGGGAGATCCTGCAACAAGAAACCGAAACATCTACTGTCATTTCCACAGAGACCACAGGCACAACACGGAGAACTAAAAAAACCTCCACGATGAGATCGAGGAGCTCATCCGCCGCGAGTACTTGAAAAATTTTGTACAACGAGAAGAAAGAAGCCAGGCAGATCGGCAAGCAGACCGACAGGGGGACCAGAGAAAGAATGCCCCTGAGACCAACAACAGGCAGAACGAGCAGCCACCACGGCAGTTGCCCGAGGAGAGACCAATCCGCGGGGTGATCAATATGATCACTAGCGGGTCCATCATTGCAAGGTGTACTTCGGCAGCTGAACGAACCTCAGTCCGCGAGCTAGAAAATGAAGAGGAGAACCCGCCAAAGCAAACTTGACTTGAAGAACCAGTTTACTTCATGGAGGACGATGCGCGCGAGATCCAATATCCTCACGGCGACGCTCCGGTGATAAAATTGAGGCTCAACGACTTCGAAGTCATGCGCATCCTGGTGGACTCGGGTAGCTTGGCAAACATGTTGTTCAAGGACACCTTCGATAAGTTGCAGCTCCAGAAAAGTGACTTAAAGCCGATAGACACTCCCCTGGTAGGCTTTAGCGGCGAGGAGGTCAGACCTCTCAGGCGAGTCTCAGTACCTGTAGAGGTCGGCACGTGGCCGAATATCGTGAGGTTCGATTACACGTTTTTGGTGGTCGCGACTCCCTCTCCTTACAATGTCATAGTAGGTCGACCCATTATGCATGCCTTACGTGCGGTAGTATCCACCTACTACCTGGCAATGAAGTTCCCAACAAATTATGGAGTAGGGGTTGTGCAAGGTGACCAGCTCGAATCTCGCAAGTGCTACGTAGCTGCCCTCAAGGGGAAAGCAAAGCAAGCGGCTAACATCGAGCTCGAGCGACCAACGGAGTATGCTGACAAGTGAGCTGCACCAACAGAGGAGATGGTCCACATCCCGGTCTCAACCGATGACCCAGCCAAGACTCTCCAGATTGGCGCTTCGATCAAGGAGCCACTTCACTCTCAGCTGATAAGTTTCTTACTACAAAATTTAGATATATTTCCTTGGTCCACGGTAGAGATGCCCGGAATAGATTCTAACTCATAAGTTAAATACCGATCCCTTAGTTAGACTGGTTACACAAAAAAAGTGAAACCTCGCCCCAGAATGTTGGAGGATAGTCGATGAAGAGGTCAGGAAGCTCTTAGCGGCATACTTCATCAGGGAAGTCCATTACCCGAGCTGGGTAGCTAACCCAGTTCTAGTAAAAAAGGCCAACGGCAAGTGGCGCATGCCCGTCGATTACACCGACCTAAATAGAGTCTACTCGAAAGACTACTTCCCACAGCCCAAGATCGACCGCTTAGTGGACGCGACCTCAGGGCATAAGTTGTTGAGCTTCCTGGATGCCTATTCCGATTACAATCAGATTAGGATGGACCCCGCTAATGAAGAAAAAACTGCATTTATAACCGGGCTCGGGTTGTATTGCTACAAGGTCATTCCCTTCGGACTAAAAAATGCTAGGACAACCTTTCAAAGACTTGTAAACAAAATTTTTGAGCCGTTAATCGGCAATAAAGTCGAATGCTATGTTCATGACATGGTCGTGAAGACCCAATATTCAAATTTTTTGCTAGATGATTTGCAAATTGTTTTTCAAATTTTACGAAAACAATTTGACTAGATTTGCAATCCCGATCAACGTCGGGATTGGGGTGGGTCATGAGGCCTCCACCCCACCCTAACCCCTGCTTGACCTGTGAAGGGTTCCATGTAGGGGTGTCAATTGGACTAGATTTGGTCCAATCCAAACCAATGTGAGTCCATTACAAATGATCAATCCAATCCAATCCAATGAGTATTTTAGACCTGTCCAATTCAATGTCTTTTTTGATAGTTTTTTTTTTTTTTTTTTTATAGATTGTCCAATTCAAATGTCTCGACTGTTCAAATTTATTTTTCTTTAGATTAATTCTAACCCAAACCTGATTCATTGACACTTATATTTTTATCTTCTACCAAATGGACCATACATTATCTCAATCCAACCCAATCCAATATAAATTCATTATGGATGGATCAGGTCCAATCCAATCCAATAAATACTTTGGACCATTAAGTCCGAACTGATCCCATTCAATGTGTTGTTAGTCCATTCAATCCGTCCAAATGGATTTTGATATGGGGTCCAATCCAAAACCGATCTATTACACATTTACACTCCCTACTTCCATGCCAGTGTCCCAGCACGGCCGGCCCGCTAAAAGACAGGCAGCCTGCAAAATCGTGCCGGGCCATTATACGGATCCACGCACCAACAACCTCTTAATCTCTTATGTCCTCACGAGTCACGAGTCACGAGTCCACGAGGAGAATCGGTCTATCAACAAAATGAAAATATCTAAAGTACTAGATGAAGCCCGAAGACCTCTCTGGTTCGACCCGTTCTGGCCGTTCTTGGACCGGCTGTTCGCTTTGGAACCCTCATTCTCTATAAACCCCGCTCCCTCTTCTATCCCTTATCCTCTCCCCTCCCTCCCAAATTCCAAATCTCTCTCTTCTCGGCTGCCATGGCTTCTGTAACTAAACCTCTATTCAAGACTGTACCAATGGCGGACAGATACTTAACCTCTCTCCCAACCCTCTTCACAACCAAAACTTCATCCCCGTTTCTCTCTCTCCCTTCTAAACCAATTAAACTTCTTCATCTCTCATGCTCTTCTTCTTCGTCACTTCCTTCATGGATGTCTCTGAAAAAGAAGCTTTCTTCTTCGACCATAATCGCTCTAGTAGCACAGACCTCCGACTGGGCTCAACAAGAGGAAGAGAATGAGGTTGAGGAGGAGGGGTTCAATTGGGAGAATCAAGAGGGCGAGGAGACCGAAGCTCGTTTGTCGGACTGGGAAGGTGAAGGGGAAGATGCGGCGACAGAAGGGAGTGCGCCTGAAGATGGAGAAGAGAGCGGCGTGGACGGGTTTCTCGGGGAGAGTGATGAGTCTTATTCGGAACCCCCTGAAGAGGCAAAACTTTATGTTGGCAACTTACCTTATGACATTGATAGTGAGAAGTTGGCTCAGCTCTTCGACCAGGCTGGAGTTGTTGAGGTTGCTGAGGTAACTTTTTTGTTATTACCGATGCTTAGTTTCTGCATATATGTATTGGCTAGAAGACTTCTTGGGGGTTTTATTGCGTTTGTTTCATTTTTAGGTAATTTACAATCGAGAGACAGATCAGAGTCGTGGGTTCGGGTTCGTCACGATGAGTACTGTTGAAGAAGCGGAGAAAGCTATCGAAATGTTCAACCGTTATGTAAATATTTGTCCTCCTTTCTTTTAAATTTGCTTATCTATTCGTTGATTATTCATTCTATAGCAGCTAGTTTGTAGAAATTGTATATTTTTCTAAAAGGTTATATGCATGGATAAGAAAGTGAAAAACGTTGTTTCAATTTTATTAGTCATTTACGATTTTATTATCGTATTCTGTTGATGGAGTTTTTACTTGGTTATGTTGATTTAGGAGGGTGTATTTCTCTGCTTACAGCTTCCTACTCTGTTGGTTATAGTCAATCCAACATATGCTTATTGAGTTTCCTTTTGTGTTTTTTTATCAATCTCTTTGAGGTCTGTAGCTTTTCTGTCTAATCTGTAAGTCTATTTTTTGGTTATTTATTTCTTATCCACTTGGGCGACATGATTATTTAACTATGTTTTCCAATTACTGGCAGGGCACAATATGAATAGGGAATTGATCAGTGATTTGGCGCACCTAGGTGCACAGGCGAGGCACATTTTAGGGTATGTGCCTCACCTAGGTCCTAGGCACAGCCCTTTCAAAAGGCGCACGCCTGGTGCACCTAGGCGTGCGCGCCTGATGCGCCTTGCACCTCAGCCCAGGCATGTGCCTTTTGAAAATTTGACGCTTTTTTTTTTCTCTGACTCCGAGAACCCCTTATTTGCTAATGTTCATTCATTCATCCTAATACGATATTTTCTTAAAAAGCAATTAAAATTATAAATTCATTATTTTTTGTGTGTAAACTAAGAATTTAACACCTAACAATCTAACATGGATTTTTTTGGGCTTGCCTCAAGGGGCATGGCACAAAGGTGGCTCGTAGAATCAGGAATGTAATATGTTTTACATTACATTAGCTACTTGAAGTAATGCAATTGAGTGAAAAAAGAGATTAGAGGTTTTACATGCTTGAAAATGTTTTATATGTTTGATCCTATTTTTAAATTATCATTTGAATATGCTTTACATCTTATGTTTATGTATTTTAATTTTAGATAATAGGTTTTTTAAAACATTTATTTTAAAATTTAAGTTTATATTTTTTATTAATATTATGTTTAATATTTTTTATTTTTTTGAATGTTTTTACTTTTAGCAATTTTTTTTGGTACTTTTATGCCTTGCTCCTCAAGCGCAAATTGACCTCTGCATCTTTTTTTGTGCCTTGCACTTTTAAAACACTAGAATTGATACAGATTTTTTTTTTCTGAATTGAAATATCCAAGAAGGAAACAAAATTCATTATGAGGTTTCTAGGTTAATTGTGGTTTATGCCATCATCTGGAAGCAATAACTAGCTAAGTTTTATATAACATCCAGCCTCTTATGAAAAAAAAAGCTTATAGAGCACAAGTAGGCTTGCACTCTTACTTGGTGGAGTCTATACCTTTGTTTTTTAAAATTTAGACTAATTAGGATAAAGCACTGGCCAAGTTTAAGTCTAGCGATGAGTATGTTAACATTTCATGATGCTTGCACTCTTACTAAAAGTTTTTGGTTTTCAACTTAGAAAGATACCTTAATTATTCCCATAATTAGAAGTGGTTATTTTATTGGTTGATCCTGATAAAATTTTCTTTGTAGTGCATTATTGAATTATCATAGATATTATAAATGAAGTTAGTACAGTGTTTTAAAAGGCGTGGGAGGTGTACACCTGGAGGCTCTCCCAAAACGCCCTGAGGCGTATGCCAGAGGCACCGACACCTCTTGCGCTTTTTTCATGAGGCGTGCTAGAGGCGTACGCATCATGCGCCTCATGCACATCTTATATAAAAAGATAGAAAAAAAAGGAAAAAGAAAAAAAAAAAGGAAAGGAAAGGAAAAGAAAAAGAAAAAATAAAGAAAAAATGAGATCCCCCCTTACTCTTCATCCTCCTCCTAACCCCCCTCCTCTTAAGGAGGCTTACACCTCCTTGTGTCTGGGAGGCTTACGCCTCTTGCGTTCTGAACTACCTAACGCTTATAGGTAGTGGGACACCTTGCATCACACCTCCACATTTTAAAACATTGAGTTAGTGTGAGAGGTTCTTAATGTAGAAACTGCAATAATAAAGTGGAACATGCTAGCTTTATGCTCATAACAGATCCTCATATCAAGAGCATTCCTTGGATAATTTTTTTTTGTGGCTCCATGAAGGTTAGAATGGTTATTTATTTATTTATTTTTTTGGAGTGGATGATGATAGCTATTGTATTTACTTTTTTATATTTCTTCTTTGGGCAAATTTCTTAAAGTACCCTTAAGGTTTAGCTAATTGACTAACTCCACCCCTACTGTTTGACTATTGTCTTAAAGTACCCCTACTGTTTCTGACAATTGACTAACACATCCCTTACTGTTAAGTCTCCGTCACGACTCGTTCACATGTAACATCACATGGTTGATTATCATCAGATAATACCAAAAGTACCCTTGAATGGGCAAACATGTCCTACCCTCAACATCACTTCCTCCGTCGAGAAAATGCTTCTGCTGCTGCTACAATTACTGTTGTTCTCTGTTAAATCTGATCCACTAGTTTGGGTAAAAAATGGAATCTCCCTCCCTGTTATTGTCTCTACCCGCTACCACCACTGCAGAAATGGGAACAACAATAGAAACAAACAGAAACAACGTATGAACTGAAAATAATCAATCTCTCCGGTGGCTCCATTTGTTGCAGTTTATTCTTCAAGATTTGATAGCCATGTGAAAAATCTCCAGCACTACTGGATCATCAGGGTTTGGGTCTATTCCACCACCGTAGATGATGAGGGGACCGCCACCTCCACCTAAGTTAGCTGACTACCATAACACAATCGACCACTACTCACGAAAGGGCCACTCTATGCCTGAGCCACCAAAGGTTTCGAAGAAGAAGACCAGTTATGGAGATGTGGAGGCATATAAGAAAATATGGCAGGTCATGAAGTGCTACCAACACCATTACTAGCAGAAGAACCAGCAACTGGCTTCTCAGCTGCAGATTCGGCAATGATCTGGCAGGCCATGAAGTGCTTCAGCCTTCAGATGTTTGATAATTTCCCTCTTGGCAATGATTTGGCATGCCAGTGCCACGGAGAGCTTCTGGTGAAAACGTTTTCTTGGAAGTGGGTTTTGAGGTGGAAGACTAAGAGGAGTTCAGAGGGCTTCTGGTGAATAAAGGAATGGACCAGGCAATGGTTGTATGAATGAAGCTAATTGTTGGCTTCGGCAATGGTGGCGTGGCAATGATGGTGGAATGACGACGGAATGATAGTCAGACGATGAGGGCTTTTCACAGTGACAGAAATGCAAGGGCATCACCTTTCTTCAACTAAGTCCTCAAATTTCCACCCCTTTCTTCAGATCTCAAAGCTTAGGAATTAGCTCATCTCTTTAGTGTATTGATTTTTTTCTTCTGATGGTTGAAGTTAGAACATCGAATCTGTGATGGGAAGGAGAGCTGGATTTATGGCAACAGAGGCAACAGAGCCTTGACGCGTGGAGCCACACAAGCGAAAGGAATGCAGGGAAAATACTAAAAGAGAAATGGAACCCTAGAGAAGTGCTTCTGCAATGGTTCACAGGGAAAGAGAGAGAGAAGAGGGGTCATGTTGGAAATAGGAAAAAAAATCATTTTATCGCCATTCTGTAGAGAGGAAATGATGTAATCTGATCTCTTCATCCTCTTTAAATCATTTTCCCTTTAAAAACCCTTACCTAGACGAATCTTTCATGTTGTCACACCACCGGGAGTTGCAGCGGTAACCCATGCAGACAATGGTGTTCTTTCTCCACTCGGTCAACAAAACTGTATTAAAGCGATGGTCAAAAATGTAATTTACATTTTGGCACGTTTATCTGAGATAGGGGCAAAAGTGACAATTCACCTTCCTCTGTTAGAATTTAATGATGAGGGCAATTGCCATAAACAGTAGGGATACTTTAAGACAATAGTCAAACAGTATGGTTGGAGTTAGTCAATTAGCTAAACCTTAAGGGTACTTTAAGAAATTTGCCCTTCTTTTTCTTGGGGGGTGGGGTGGGGATGGGGGTGCTTACTTCTTATAAACCATTTGGCGTGCCTGTAAGGACCAAACCTGATGATTGCAGACAAGCCAAGAGGACCAAACCATTTGGTCCTTTTGGAAGTTGGATTGTTGGAATTGTGGCTAATCAAAAATCCCACGAGGGGACGTGGTGCCTCATGTTTTGTGCTGTGACACACACTACCACCAAATGCAAGTGCCCTTTTTGCATGACCTGTTCTGGTCAGCTCGGCTCAGGTTGCATCTCCTAATGAACACGCCTCTTTTATCTGATGTTGGACAAACCAGTGCTAACTTATTATTAGTTAATAGTTGTATTTCAACTTGACAATTTCATAAAATAGAAACACAAACACACACTTTCAGCATTGTCTCTTTGATTCTTCTTTGTGGTTTTTTGTTCACTTGGAGCCACATATTCAAGAATCGGCATTGAGAAAATATATTTTTGAATTGATTGTTTACGAATTGATTAGGCATATACAATAGGAGATGCCATAAGAGGAATAGTAAACTGTTTATGGGTGCCCATCTTACCACCTAGGCAAGCACCTTGTGTATTGGGCGGGTGTGGGGTGCCTTAAATAATATATTCATGGATCCACCTGTAAGTGGTCTCCCAAGATTACTTCATTGCCTAGTCAACACCTTGACAACCATGCTAACACAGAACATTTTGTTTAATTTTAGGAGAAATAGGGTCATGGGAATGGAAGTAGGGAGTTGTTTAAGAATGGTCATGCAGACTTTGCCAAGGTGATTGTTTTCACTATACTTCAATATGGAGGTGATATTGAGAGGCTGTTGTCCATACAACTAGATGCTGGTGGATAAAATACTCAGGAATACTGTTCAATTGGCATATACCTGAATTTGAAGGGAGGTTTTAATAGGAAGTGTAAAGAACAAACCACATATTACGGAGTTAAATGCTTGATGCTCAAGAAGTCAGACACACTATTATAGGCATGGTATACGAGATAGATGTGATAAGAGTAGGAGGAATATTAAATTCTGAAACAAGCATGTTCACTTATTAAGTACTGATTTTGATGACAGATGCAGGATCAAGAAAGATTACTCACATCATATGGTTTGTCCATATAATTTGAATGTCAATTGAATATAGCAATGAAGATGCACCCATCATTGCAATGGCCATCTTTGATCTTTAGACAGTTGAACTTTCTTCCTGTATTAAGACCTGTAACAAGTTTCTGATGTCTTAATTGATATAATGCTGCATAATTTGCTCCATCTGTGTTGGGTTGGATTTCCTTTTCTTTTTAGTTAAACCAATAACAGTCGAACATTGGCCAACAGCTATATAATGTGTTCAGTACAATTGTTGTGTACTAAGCATGTCAACCATTTGTAAAAATGTTGTGTCCTTGTTTGGTGTGTTGCAGTAATTTGCTTAGTTTACACTCTTATCATTAAATGGTAACTCAATCGGCCCACTTTGTTTTACTATTTCTCCATGTGTTGAAACAGGATGCTGGTGGCAGGCTTCTGACTGTGAACAAGGCTGCTCCAAGAGGGTCCAGACCAGAGCGACCCCCACGAGTGTTAGAACCATCATTTAGGATCTATGTTGGAAACTTGCCATGGCAAGTTGATAACTCTCGCCTGGAGCAAGTATTCAGTGAACACGGTAAGGTTGTGGATGCCAGGATTGTTTATGATCGGGAGACTGGACGTTCACGTGGGTTTGGCTTTGTGACGATGTCGTCGCAAACCGAGTTGGATGATGCCATTGCTGCCCTTGATGGACAGGTAAGATGCATACCTTTTTCTTTAATTAATCATGTGGTTCCATTAAGAAGGATGAGAGAACAAGTGGTCTTATGTTTCCCTCGAGTGTAATTGATATTGTCCCAAATTTATTCTAATGCCACATTTTTTATTTTATTTTAAGTAACTTTTCTTTTGCTAATTATATGGATGAAGAATGGAATGCGAGCATGGTGGTGGTTAGGTCGTGTGTGTATGTGTTATTTTATATCATATTTTACATTATATGATATATAACAAAAATTGCAAACATATATTATGTCATATAATATAAAATATTATATAATTTATATTTAAATTCATTGGCCTGGAACTCGGCCCATGTCTGGGCAATTCAGGCCTGGGTCTTGGCCAGCCCCAGGTGCAGGCTATAACCCTTATCATAGGTTCTAAACCCAGCCCGACCCATGATCACCATGCAGATGTTACTAAATTATACTTGGTTTTGCTGTGTAACTAGTATATTGGCAATAGTCCTCTGTTTTGTCGTACAACACTTTTGTTAAAACAAATAACCTGGCCATCATTCCTCATGCAGAGTTTGGATGGAAGAGCAATTAGAGTGAATGTTGCGGAAGAAAGACCAAGGCGTGGCTCCTTTTGATTTAGAGAGAGGAGCTTTCAGTTCTTTAGGCTCTCTTTTTGTAACTGTGTAGGTTCTATTTTGGAGGCATGATTCAATGCTCAATTTGTTTCTTTTGATTTTATTAGCTAGTGACAGGAAAGTTTTTTGGTCAGTTAACATGCTTTTTACTTATTTCTTTTTATTCTTTTTTTTGTTCTGTTGGTAAAGATATACTTCCGTTATAATACTCTTTAAACGTACAAGGCAATTGAAAGGTTACCCTTGTTCAAAGAATTGGTTTTAGAAGCTAATAGCAGCATCAGATGCCACGCATCAGATTGTCTGTGCCCAAAAGGTGTAATATTTGTTTCTCTTGTGGAAGGTATGTTTATAATGGTAAATTTTTTTTAATCCTTGTTTACCGACGGTCAGTGACAGTTCAGAAATAATTCAATCTTGCAGTCGGTTGGTTAATCCGACTGAATTGATTTTTAGTGTAAAAAAGCCTACGTCTATATAGATTACACACCGAGTAAGTTGGAAGTTGGATTGAGTTCTTTAATGAAATCTGGTTATCTTTCTCTCTCGAAAAAAAAAAAGTAGATGTGTGTATTTGTTTCCTAAAAGTAAGCAACATGGGTTTACCCACAATGAAGTACATTACTATATTTGAATTCTATTTCCCGTAAAAATGGGAAAGTGGCAGTTGAATTGAAATTTTATTTTCTGTAAAAATGGGACACCAAGTGTGTGAGTGAGGGGAGAATGGGAGGAGATGGTTGAATGTGTAAAAAGTTCAGTTAGAGTAAATGTGCAAGAAGATTGAAAATTGTTTGATATTGTACCTGGGAACTTTCCACTTCTCACGTCTGAAAAGTTACAATATCACATATGTAAAAGCAGTAAGAGAAAACAAAATCATAGGTGGCAATGTGTCTACATGGTAGTTAGCTTTGGGTTTTGTTAGTATGCAAGTTAATGGTCTCTTTCTTGGAAGGACAAATATCTAAATGTAAGTGGGCCACAGGTCTCACTGTAGGGGGCTTTGGCCTGAAATCATTATTGAGAGAGAGATGGACAATTTTTGTTGATGAACACATAATGTTCTAATAGATGGTGAGTTTTGGAAAACAAAAAATCACTGACAATTTCCTTTTTTTTATTTTATTAGTACTATTCCATTAATGAGCCTACAAAATTTAATGTTGCATTTATGATGAAATTTTCTTTTTGGGATATGATGGACTATTTCTGCCAATAACCACCAATGGTAACTTAACAGAAATCTAATGGAATGTGAGTTTTAGAGGACAAAACTCACTGATATGGGCGAGGTTTTGAAAAGTCATGGTGGGCTTTAAATAATATCCTTTCATTTTTTTTCCCTTGTAGTTTTCCCATGCTTTGTTTGTTTCAACCTAAAAATGTTGAAAAAAAATTCAGGCTGAAATATTTGAGCTATATTGTACCCTCTTGCACAATAAACACTTTGTTTTATTTGCAATAAATGAATTAAAAGGGGAGCAAAAGTTGCTGAAATATTTAAAGTAAAAATATTTTATGTTCATTCTCAAGAAAACAAGTGCAGCCTTAAGGTTCATGCTAGTGGCCTCATCCCTTAGCAAAAAAATAAAAAAAAAAATGAAGAAAAAGAAGAAGAAAGAAAAAAAATCAATGTTAAATTGATGTGAGAATTGTGCATTCGGTGAACCCTTATCCCCTGTTTTTCTTTCTGGTAGCTAGGATTATTTAGTTATTTTGAGAAAAAATTGACGAAAGAGGAGAAGAATAAATCTTATGATTTAAAATTTAATGTAATTTTTAATATATAAAAAATGGGATGAGAGAATTACTCGCACACATGAGAGGGTACTGACATGGAATTCTCTAATTTAATGTACAGAAAAATCTGCAGGAGATCGGGACTCCAATTAAAGGTTTCTATGAACAACCTCCTACATGCATTTTTATCTATACCTGTTTCAATTATAAACAGCCTCAAATAACAGTTGTATGCCAATTTGTGTTGATTAACCCAAAAGCAGGTTACAGGTCCAAACAGGAACTAAGATACAGAAATACTAAATTTGTGAATAGGCGCGCAATGGCTAAAACTTAACCATTTCGTAATATTAACGCGACAATTACATAGAACCCTCTTAGGCTATGCCTAAATGCCTAAACTTTTCAAGTGTCCTAGATTATTATTTTTGTTTTTCCAGGCAAACTGTTCATTAGCTACTTAATTCCAATGCATAGAATTAATGAGCTATTAACAGTCCAAACTTTCAATCTTTTCTGTCTTGAAAGCTAAGAGAAATGCATGCTAATAGTGTGAGATTAGAATCAGAGACCAGTAGCTGAATGGTCAAGTTGATGCAACTGCAAGTTGTGTGTGGTAAGGTCAGTGGACCTCAAGCAAATGGACCCCGGCCCGATTGAATGTAATGAGTAATATGTAAATGTATATTCCCTCTCGAGCTCCCTCGTTACTAAACACACACCCTTGAAAGCAATAACAAAATAACAAATTATGTCCAATGGGTAGAAGGATTACGTAATTTGTGACGATGTCAAATATATTTCAATGAGGTGATAATGCAAATGGGCCCTTGCTTGGTTGGAATTTAATTTCTTGATTCAGTTGGAAGGTGCAACTACTTAATGCATGCATGGCTGATAGAAATCACGTACACAGCCTAACATATTGCCAATCATCTATTCCTATTGCCTAGAGTAGTATTTTTGCGGATCGGGTGCAAATTCTGCAGGTTCAATTCATTCTTTTTTTAGGTTTTGCTTTGTCTATTTCAATTCGTTTGCACATTGTGGATGAAGTAAAATAAAACCTGAGACAAAAGCTAACCGGCCGGATCAACTCTTATCCCTTACACTTGCATTCATTTGTACTAAGGCATATGAAATTGCACCACAAACAAATGGAGTCCAAAGAGACCGCCTGCATGTGTTATAAGTTGCATCCATGGACTATGGTGGTGGTGTTCTTCTTATCTGTACTGTACAAATTAAGGGATCGTGTGTTGTGCATGTGTAAGCTGAAAGGGGAATGAATGAATGAATGAACATATCGTCAAGTCAAGTGATCATATATTATATTATAAAAAACTCCACCTGTAGAGTGTAGACCCATATCTGGCCTGGCTAAGTTGGATGGAGCCAGCTCCATCCATGATCCACCCACCAAACACCAGAGTATCCTGTATTGATTCAATTCCCACGCACCCAATTAACACTGAAGCTTGACTTGAGGTGGAAATGGAATTGTCTCATTTAAATTAATTTCAAACCCAGTCAATGAGGCCGTATTTATGACTATTGTCTCCTTTTATTCAAGTCCCAGGAACCACTTGACCTGTTAGCAGGAGTGTCCAGATGCCACCAACCGACCCTTACCTACAAATTTTAACTAATTCAACTCTACTTTATTATACCTTAGCGTCTTCACACTCTTGCATAATTTAGCACTGCTCGACGTTTTGAAGAAACCATGAAACTCTTTAAGGTTTATCTCTCAATATGAAGAATCTGCCAACCGCTCTTTTTTCTTTCGTTTATCCTGAAAACCACAGAAGGAGAAAGCGCACATCTACATATACAGATAGAATTAAAATCCTAGCTGTTAGGGAATATTGTAATGAGATAAGGTTGAGAGACTAGCTATGAGGTAGTTATATGTATATATATATATATATGAGAGTTTGACCGGCCGTTTAGGATCAGGTTGGATAAGCCTGCTATTTAATTACATCAATTTATTGCCTAGGAGGGACAAAACCAATTCAAGTTCAAACACTGTTTGTATGAATCAACCTTGTCAAACACTGTTTCTCCTTCCTTAATTATCAAGTTATTTATCCCTTAAAAATGCAAGATGTCTATACTAGATCTAGACATACATCTTTGGTACATAACCTCATCATAAACATTAATTAATTCATGTCAGCTCAATTATATTTAGTAAGTCCCTCCACAAATTTGTATTTGTACTCTTTCCAACCAAACTGAGGAGCCTTAGGGTCAAAACCATTATTTTCCACCTCCGTATAATGGAAGGTGGGTTAAGTAAATCGGTAAAAAATTACAAGTATTTTAGTAAAATGCAAACCATATATAGGGGCTGTTTTATTAAATCAGGCCCAATTATATATCATAGTACAATCAAAGCAAATAATGTCTGCTCCATTTATATATACATTTATTTTACGACACACACTTGAGAATTTTTTTCTTGGATATACCTTAATTTTAATTTATCAGTAATCTGTATTATTGCCCAATTAATTAATCAACAGGCCGGCTTCAAAGCAAATGCTACAGAGTACAGGCTACAGCAGCAGATTCACTTCATCCTTGGCTGGAGAGTAACCATCAAGCCATTCTTCATGTAAAGTGTGGTGGTTAATTTTGGAACAATGGTTTGGCCCTCTACCACCTTAACCGAGTACCTCAATAGGATAGAAGCAGCCACCAACTTCATCTGCATGTAAGCGAATTTCTTCCCTACACACAACCTCGGTCCTGCATTAAACACTGCGAACTTAAACTGGCTCTCGTTCACCAGTTCCCCGTCGTCTTTGATCCATCTCTCCGGCTTAAACTCCCTGCAGTCTTTTCCCCATATGTCCTCCATTCTAGCCATCGAGTAAATGCTGTAGAACACTCGAGCACCCTTTTTGACGTCCGTTCCTGTAGGGAACACGTCGTCTTCTTGAACCTCCTTGAAGTCCACCGGCACCGACGGGTACAGCCTGAGGGTTTCTGATAGGGTTGCTTCAAGGTACACCATCTTCTTTAGCTCGTCCATGGAAAAAGTTACATCGTCAACCTTCCCCTTCTTCGACTCCCGAAGGTCGATCATCTCCTTGATCTCCTCCAGAATTCGCTGTTCGACTCTCGGGTGCTCGTGTAATAGCCAGAAGAACCATGCTAGTGCTACCGAGCTTGTATCCCGTCCCGCCAAGGTAAAGCTTATGCAGAAATCTTTAAGAAACTTGTCCGACAACTTCTTCTTGCCCTTTTCATCTGGGTCTTCCATCTCAATGATCCTTGACAATAGATCAGAACGACCATTTAGGTTGCCGAGCTTGCAGTTTTCCGTCCTCCTATCGATCACCGTCTTCTCCGCGAATTTGTGAACTATTTCAACCGCCTCCTTGAGTCGCTTCTCGGATCCCACCCCAAAGTACTTCATGGACTTCCATAACAAAGGAGGCGTTACGAACCTCAACACACTGAACTCGGTGGCTAGCTCGAAAGCTTTCGCGAAAGGGACCTCGGGAAGGTCGATGGCCAAGCAGTCCGGGTCGACTCCGAATGCGGCGGTGCAGATGTTATCGAATGTGAACCGGAGGAGAACGTCTTGGAGATCGATGCTCTCCCCCGAAACCGCAAGCTTGTTTAGCAATTTCAAGAGCTTCTGGTGCACCAGGTCCTGAATGGTTTGAAGAGAATACTGGAGGAACCGTCTCGAATGCATCTCCGACGTCGCGATCCGCCTTTGTTCCTTCCACAAATCATCATCGGCGTTAAAGATGCCATCGCCGAGCAAGTCGGAGAACCTCTCCCGGAAGTACTGCCCTTTAGGGAAGTTCTTGAATCTTGTCTTGAGCATGTACTCGATGTTGGAAGGATCAGAAGTGACGATGACATATGCGCCGCTGGTCCACATCCCTCTAAAACGAAATGTGCCTCCAGATTTGATGAGAGTTTCGGTAATCCAATCATAGGCTCGGTTGATATTGAAGAACAAGGTGGGCATGATCCCAAGAACTGGCCATAACAGGGGTCCCTTGTTGGTGAGTTTCTGAACCAAAGCTGTGAAGATAAATAGACCCAAAACAGCCGCGGCTACACCAGAAACCCTTACGTGAGCTGCCAACAATTCCTTCGTCTGAGAGAAGTCAGAGAACAGAGCCTTTTCGAGCATCTCTTACTTTGCGTGGGAGATTTTGTTGCTAAAACAGTTGGATAAAAAAACAAAGGGAACGAAGATGAGACGAACTAGATTCTAGCTAGATGATGATTTACGATGAGACCAATGGACTGCAAGTACAAGATACTCAATTTGTATACGTGAAAAATGGAGAAAACCCAGAGTTAGCCTCTTGAAGTTGTATTTGCACCTACCTCTTTACGTGATTTGCGTTTGTATTAAACTCTAAGTGGGACCGTACATATTGTTAGGATTTCCACCATTAATAGACTCATCTCTCAACCACCTCTTAACCAAAACTTGTAAAATAAGAAATCAATGGGAGTACGCACATCAGATTCAAATTCAAGTCACTAGCTGGTTCATGAAGCGAATCAAGTTATATGAAACCAGTGCCTTGAATATCATTTGCCTAGCTTGGTAGAGGGTTGGGGATATGAACCAGTGATGAGTTGAACTCATTTGGGTCTTTGGGTTGTAACTGATAAGTGGGATAAATGTTCTGTATTGATGATGCTTTGTCTGAGGACACCATGAGAATTGTGAATCCTTGATTGATTAATAAATGGAATTAGACTGGGGTCTTTCAAAAAAATTTGGGTCGTTGGGCTTCTGAAATTGAAAGCTATTCCATATGGAAAATCTTTACTGTAGTGCGGCGGATACTTGTTTGTCTTGGCTTCAAGACCACCATATGAAAAATTTAGGCCCCATTTGGTTCGTGGGAATGGGGGTCTGGAATCGGAATCGGAATCGGAATGGGATATTCTGATTCCAATTGTTTGATTGGATGTAATCGGAATCACATTCCCATTTCTGTAAGAATGGTATTATCCCATTTGAGGGAATGGCCATTCTCTGCCCCTCCCTAGCGAATGAAATCTCATTCTTACTTGTTTCAATTCCAATTCTGATTCGGACTATAAAACAAACGGACCCTTAATTCATTTATTATTATTATTATTATTATTATTATTATTATTATTATTATTATTATTATTATTATATACAATGGTGAGTCGGCTTTAAGTTTGATTAGTAGACCGATCATGGTTGTTGGTTTTATAAATATACTAGCAGAGACCCATGCGATGCACGGGATTTATTAAGGAAGGCTAAATCATAGAAATGGTCATTTACTAAAATACCCCTTATAGTTTTATGGACTTTCTAAAATCTACCCTATAGTTAAAATTTTACTAAAACACCACTTATAATTTGCAATGGATTTAATCAATCTTCCATTAGATGACAGTGAAAAATGATGATGTTGACTAGTACGTTATCCTCCTTCTGAAGAGGAACGGATCCCTATGTCATGGGTCGGAGATTCCAAGAGCATTTCGTGAGATCCACAACGGCCCAGCTACATAAGGGCATCAGCCCCCAAGATTCAGGTATGCCCGATTACTTGCTCACTAGCATTCTAGCATTCAAGCTTTCAACTCGCAATCAGAATACAATACTAACTTAAACATCAGAGCGACCTCACAAGATTAGCTACCCTAGGTTCTCTGATCCTTTGTCTTGTAGCTTGGTCCAACTCTCTACGCGACTAGTGTCTAGGTAATCTTCCAGCTAGGAGCTTTAAAAGGTCAACCTCACACCTCACCTTACTCTCTCTCAATGGCATCTTCAAGCAACACCAGCAAGGGCATCGACATGAGCGTCACTAGGGGGCAAGACCACCCGACATCACTCTCCCAAGGCCCTTCAGTGACTATCAAGCCGTTCACCATCCCCCTCACTACCTCAGGGGTTCCTACTGTGTCGATGCAGCAGACGAGTCAGCAGATAAGCATCCCGCTGCCCCAAGTAAACACCACTTTCTTGGAACCCTCGGTGATTCCTCCTGGGTAGGGCATCACCAGTTCGATGATTTAGTTCAAAGTGTTAGAACCATGCAGATTCAGATGCAACAAATGCATCAGTTCCAACAGTTTCAGCAATATTATTTCTATCAGCAGTACCAGCAGCAATTTCCACCACTACAGCTGAATCAGCAACCAGGTCAATACCATAATCAAACTCAGAACCAACAACCTCATCAAAGTGTTCACCGATCTTCTCTTTGAGGTGAGGGAAATTCACAGGTTCCGGTCCCTCCTAGGAGTCGGACCCCACCTCAGGGTAGGATCAACGGCCATCACTCCCCCCCGGTTTCTCAAAGGGGGAACCCGAAAGATACGCCCGAGGTTAGCCAGCGTGAAAGGAATAGTCAGCAACAACACTCACAGCCTGAGAATCGCGAGTCATGACTCGATGATCACCAACTTGGGGCCCGAGGTGCGGCCTCGAGACGAGACCCCTCGGCACCCCACAACAGCCAGCGCCGGTCTCGCGACTAGGAAGAAGCAAAAGGAAAGAACCCTAATCCACCTTGCAACAGTGTTCAAGAGCGAGAGCAGACCAAAATCGAAGTACTCGATAACACAGAAGTCAACAACACCAACGTGGAGCCAGCAAAGAAGCAACAGCAACGGCGTTGTAAGACTCGTCGGTCTTCCGCTAGGAACAACCCACCAGCAAGGAGCAGCCGCCTGCAAGAACGAAGTAGGGAAAGGGAGGAAGTGAGCTCGGTAGCTACACAGCCTGCTCCTACCTTGTTGAGTCGGCCCTCCCCCCTGTCACCCGAACTACTAGCAACCTCGATGCCGAAGGATTTCAAGGTACGCCCGTTGGAAAAGTACGATGGAAGTTTCAATCCCAACAATCATGTAGACGCGTTTCAATCTCAAATGCATTTCGCCGGAGCAGACGAAGCGTGCATGCGTGTGGTACATGAACATTGCGCTGGCCTCAATCAAAAGTTGGGCACGGTTCGTCGATATGTTCACGGCCCACTTCATACTAGTAAGAAGTGCCCGAAATCACAAGAGAGCCTTCTGAACATGGTGTAGAGGGAAAACAAATCAACTCGGAGCTACATCAAGCATTTCAATGAAACGTGCTTGTAGATACCGAATCTTGACCCAACAGTGCGCCTCACCGTAGCACAGAAGGGAGTTACACACAAGGAGTTCAGATGGTATGTCAGAGTAAATCGCCCGAAAAACATCACGGAATTCCTAGCATTTGCGGAGAGGTTCATAAGCACAGAAGAAGAGCTCAGCCAAAAATCGGAAAGCCAACAGAGCAAGAAGAGGAAAAGAGAAGACGAAGGAGCAAGCAACAACAAGCACAAAAGAAAGAAGAGCAAATCGTTGAGATGAAGCAAGTCACCTCGCTCGAGAAGTAAGTCCCCCTCCAAAAGTTATAGGTTAGGTCGGCGATCCAGGACCCCTCCTTTAGAGAGAACAACCTTTACTCCCCTCAACGCGAAGCGAGGAGAAATCCTGATGGCAATAAAGGACTCCTCCTTCGTCAAGTGTTCACCCAGGCTACGGGGAGACCCAGCAACCAGGAACTCGAACGTCTACGCCACAGGTACCTGAAGAAGTACATCTTGCACGACGAGAAAGAATAGAGGGACCGACAAGAAGACCGAAGGAGAGACGCTCCGGAGTCGAGTAGACAGAACGAGCAACCACCTTGGTAGTTACCTGAAGAGATACCAATCCGCGAGGTGATCAACATGATCACTGGCGGATCCATTGTAGTAGGGCGTATCGCAGCAGCAAGGAAGACCTCGGTCAGAGAACTGGAGCATGAAGCAGAAAACCCACCGAAGCGACCTTGGGTGGAAGAGCCCATTTATTTCACCGAGGACGATGCGGATGGGATACAGTATCCTCACGACGACGCTCTGGTCGTGAAACTCATCGTAAATGATTTTGAAGTGAAGCGGATCTTGGTGGACTCAGGCAGTTCGACCGACATCCTATTCAAAGGGACCTTCGACAGGCTACAGCTGAAGTAGGGCAACTTGAAACCAGCAGATAACCCCTTAGTGGGGTTCAGCAGCGAAGAAGTTAGACCCCTTGGCCGGGTCACGGTATAAGTAAAGGTAGGGACATGGCCAAAGATAGTGCGATTCGAGCATACTTTCCTAGTGGTCGCGACTCCGTCTCCCTACAACGCGATCGTAGGTCGGCCCATCCAGCACATCTTACGTGCGATAGTATCAACATACTACTTGGCGATGAAGCTCCCGACAGATTACGGAGTAGGGGTCGTACGAGGTGACCAACTTGAGTACTACAAGTGCTACATGGCTGCACTAAAAGGTAAGGCGAAGTTGGTTGATGATGTCGAGCTAGAGCAACCAGCAGAGTACACTGAGGAGCGAGCTGCCCTGATGGAGGAGACGGTCCACATAATGGTTTCCAAAAATGAGACAACCTGGAAGACTGAAGCACAACCTCAACAAACTCGAGCATGCAATATGTGGCGAGAAAAATGGGCCCCTCTGGCCCTTATTTATAACTGCCGTGACCGGGACTCAACGGTCGAGATCTACACGATCCGATGGCTCCCATGAAAACCGGATGCACGCCACCCGAGATTGAAATCGATTGAGCGCATGATTTGACGTCCATAGAGTTTATAAATGGAATGGCGTCCGCGCGTACCTAGTATGCGATCTGGGGTATTCCCTGGTCGAGCCAAACGGGTCATGAAGGTCCGACCGAAGAGCCGCCCTTCAAACTGCCTAGAAGTCGTGCCAAATCCACCTGGGCTCGCCATGAACTCCCCACGCCGGGTCAGGACCCTTGGCACGAGGACTGGGGGGCAATTGATAAAGGGTGATTTGGCCCGACCTAATAAGTAAAGGACACGTGGATGTGGCCTGCCAGCTAGACGACAATTCAACATGTGGTGCCATGTCATCAGATCGCAGGACCTCGGGTGCTCGGTCACTTCGGAGTCAGAGCACCTCGATACCCACATGAACCGAGGTGCCACATAACCGAACCTAGAAGTTTGCCAGTTGTCTCTGAACTTCTCGAGATCATACCGCGTAACTGTAGGCCTTATCCTCACCTTGCCCGAATCGGAGGGAAACGGTAAGCCTCATTAACTGGTACGTTATCCTCCTTCCAAAGCGGAACAGATCCCTACATCATGGGCTGGGGATTCTGGGAGTGTTTCGCGA